GCCAAGTCGTTTCTGTGTTATGCCCATGCCGCTGCGGACCAACGAAGAAATTGCGCTCCGACCTACGTGCCCGTTGCTCTTCGTCTTTTCCTTCATTTATCAGGTACGTACCTGCTTATAATTTGCGCGGGGAACAGAAAATTATTAGCTCAATTTACCTTTATAAATTTTTATTAATTATTTCGATTTTATTAATCTATAAACAGGATTCAATATGTACTTAATACCTAATGGATCCTAATAAGTCGTTAATTAAAGAGGTACCATAGGCAATTGAAGTAATATAAAACTGTAGAGGTCACTGATTGATTAGTGGATTTAATTGACTAATTTTATTGAGTGCATTTTTGCATTCATTTGAGAATTTTTCTTTAATCCTATTATATGTGGTTGTTTATTAATTTTCATGAAGAAAAAACTAAAAATAATGAAAATATAAAAAATGTAAAAAAAATGAAAAATATGGTAAAAATCACAACCTTTGGCTTTACCATCTAAAAAAATCATTTAAAAATCATCAAAATATTCTAAAAGTTAATTCAGATCATCAACTAAGAATTCTAAAAAAAATGTCAAATATTGTAAAAAAACTGAAAAAAATTGACATAAAAGCTCCTAAATGCACATGCATTTCATATTTAGATTAAAATAATAATAGCATCACTAATATTTGAGATATTAGTAAATACAAATCAATTTTCAAGCCTATTGAAGCATAGTAGAGGCACTGTCAATAGTGCCTATACAAATCACAGGTATTATAGAGGCTAAATCTGGTCCTGCTAACTCATTTCGAGCTTTCGGCATTTCGTCGAGAGAGCTTAGAGAGAGAATCTTGCCTCTAAGCAAACATATCATGTGGTAAATTGCCTGCCTACTCTCGTTCTCGTTCTTCGTTTATGTTGCGGGTTGGTAGAGCTGCTAGCCGGTGCTATTATAGTACCGAGTGTTTTAAATTCCTGGTTCGTCATAGATTCTTTTAATGGGACTAATTGAGTGGAACCTCGGACGACCGTTATATCAATTTTAATAATATTTCTCATTAACTCGGATTAGTCGCGAGGCTGTTTATCATTTTAACGTTTAATTTTTTTTTTCATTACAGCAAATACGTTTTAAACCCATAAATAATCTATATTTGGTACGTAATCAGTTATTAAAATTTATGTACATACTGGATCTCATTAAAATCATGTTTACTTGCAACTTAAAATGTGATATTTTGTCATTTAAATTTTTTAAAGCAAAGTTTCAAACTCATTTTATTTATTTATTTACATTGAAGCTAATGATTTATAATGAAGCTAATTTTAAAGTTTTTTTTAACATTCTAGTAATTTTTTAGAGCTTTTTGTTTCATCATAATAATTTTGTTTTATATTATAAAATTCGTGTTAGTTTTTTTTGTCTCACTCTGTATATAATGCCCGCATCATCATCTGCTTCCCTCTCGGCGAGTTTGAAATACCCACAAAGGCGTTATAAAACAAAATCATTTATAAATTACACGTTAAAGCATCAAATTGTTGTCCGCCTCGCACGATAAATTATCTTTTGTCTGGGTAAAAAAAGATCGTCCGTTCTTCGGCATTGTGTTAAAAATGAATCTAATAACTAACTATAATTAATAATATCTGCTGTACAAATATGTTTGACGGCGCGGTTATTGTGTTTGAGTGTTCGGCCGTTGTTGGTTGTGCCGAGCTTGGTTGTTTCAATATTTTTTTTTGATTTTTCAGTGGCGGGTTTGCCGGACGGATGCAAATTGGGCGCAAAAAGATCGGTTTTAATTTTATAGGTAAATTGGGCGCAAAGAATTATTTGGTTCGGAATTACTTGTATAATCACCTCCTGAAGTTTGGCGGTTTTTATGATAGACATCCCTGTATATTAATTATAAAAATAAGAATTTCCCATTCACTCTACTCTACGTGATTATATGGGATATAATTTGCAGGTGAAAACTAAGATGGTTTAGGCGAAATAAATAACTAGGCATATGAGAGATATGTGTTTAATACGTTCCATTTATTTTTAACATTCATCAGGCGAAATAACGAATAATAATGAAATCTTGTTAGTGAAAAACGTCTAATAAAATGAAAATTAAACAAAAATGAATAAACAAAATCATATACAAATGAGGACAAAAAAAATTAATTTAATGAAAAAGGTATTTAAAAATGGTTTAAAATCCACACTTAAACAACTTCTCTAAAAACCATCCTTTATATCAAAGCAAGGGTGAAATATTATAAACCGCAATTTTATACTTTTCTAGTTTTTACAAAATAATCAATCAGGAAAGAAAGTAACATTAATTACTCATTTTAAAGCATAAATTTGCTCTCAATTTTTTTAATAACCGAAAATTAATAATATTTGCGGTTTCTCTAATAAAATATTTCGCACAGATCCAAAAAATAAGACCAAACTACTGCAATTTCACCTTCATTCTTTCCACCGAAATTCAAAATTTACCGCTTGTATTTTCTTATAATCGACCCGCTTGGAGCGCTCTAGCTCTTAAATTTTTTAATTAATCCGAAACCGCATGCGAAAAATACGAGCCCCGAATCGTAAATCAACACGTCACTAAGTTAATTTGAAAAGATGCAATCTTGCGGAATAGACCAGCCATTCTTCGTCCCTCGGGATGAAGTAGCCGAGCACCGGCGAAAACCGCGCGTAATTAATATAAATTAACGCGGGATTGATTGAAAATTACAAGCACGTCAGGACAATTAGATTTTCTATGAAGACGTGTCACGTAATTACAGGAATGATGATGTTTCTAAGGTGGATTTTCGCATCAGAGACCATTGAATGGGATGCGGCTCATTAAAAAGAATTTAGAAATAGCAAACCAATAAAGTTTATTTTTTATATCCATGTAGCACAAATTTAGTGCACAATTTTGAGTTCTACAATTTATTTTTTCATGCAGAATTCAAAATATAATAAAAAAATAGCAATAGTACTTAAAAATAAATGAAATCTTTGGTGAAGTAAAATTTAATAGGAAGAAGTAACACACCTACCACCAACCCCTTTTAATTAAGTAGGAGCATTTAAATGGCGATTCGAGCTGTGACATATGGTTATAAATAAGCGTGGTTTGGTCGTTTTATGCGTTCGGGGCCGCGGCAACGAAACGTTAACAGACGAGCGATGATGCAGTGCGAGTTAAAAGTGTTCTTAACGTGCCGGCACGTAGCCGAAGAGCCCCTAGGGGTCCGCACAGGTGTTAGCGTTTCCATCTTCCAGCACCTCTTCAACCTTTTGGACCGGGCCGGTTTCATCAAACCCAATTACAGGGCCGGTTTTATCAAAAGATTAAATTTAGAACAATGCATTTTTATTGCTCGTAAATAATGTTCCTTACAATATCATCTGGACGATGGAAAATTTCTATCTTCGTAGAGGTAGAGGCGCGCTGGCGGGCGCGGATCGACTGCACCCGTTTCTCGGCGAATTTTGCGGGGTTTAATTTTATTTTTCATATTTTTCATTAGGTTTCATAAGGTGAACTAATTCAAGAACCACATCTAGTTTAGAGTATAAAAGCAAGAATTTGAAAACTGACCCTTCATTAAGCAAAAAAAATTGCTCAATTAATTTTAAAACCACTAAATTCATAAAAAACTTGATTCATGGAGGTACACACTTGAAACTGTTTTTATTCCAATTTTCCTAATTTAAAAATCGCCATTTTTTTACAATTTGTGAAAATATTGTTGAATTATGGTTCAACTTAGTACAAAAAGGTTTACTTCAATAAATTTAAAAGAAACTCTTTCAAAATATTTTTAAAAACCACATTTAAGTACCAAAAATTTTTCAAAACCACCCTCTTCATTATAGAATAATAATTATTGCCATAAAACACCCTGTATTAATTCAACAATACATTCACATCAATGAAATAAACCCGATAACAACCCCGAGTACGTCTAAAGTATGCGAGTATTGCGTGCAGTTGACCCGCCCCCCTTTATTTCTGATGGTATTCTTTTATTTTAGAGGAGAGATGTTCGTGATTTAAATCACTTTGGCCGGTAATTCGCTGAATATTCCTCTCCATTATGTTATGACCGATAGTACACGCATCTAAACATATATATTTGCGTTTGCCGCTTTGTTTTGCAAAACAAGAAAACAAATCATCGCGCGATGCGATGCGGGAGGGTGTATTTTATTCTTCTCGCGTCGAAACTGAGGCCAGTGAGGTGCTAAATTATCACGAGATGATGAAGTTTCGGGTTTCGATACGAGCCTTATTTATTTATTGCGGCCGGCTGTTCATCCTTGCTTTGATAGAGGGTTTTTTTAAGAGTTTGGAAGGTTTTTTTTTGGGATGCTCGAGTGAAGAATTACACAGAGTTTCGAAGCTACGGGATTGTTTTTTCCTATGTTGGCTAATTTGACTTGGGTTATAGGATTTTTTATTATGTACGATGATTTGGGATTCACACTGGGAAAGTATATTTGATGCGACAATTTTGCGGAAACAATATGGGTGGTTTGCGGTTATCTTTTTTCCATAATCTAACATCGATAGAGTGTACAAATCATCCGGAGCGATATTCTCCACGCACACCTCTGCTTCACCGCTGCTACTTTAATATCGCGAGATTCCGCGCGGTTTTTTTGTTGTACCTGCGAGTACGTTTCCAGTCTGAATGAAGATTTCATTGTTAGATAGAAACACACTGATTGAGTTAACTCATGCAACGCCATTAGAGCAAACACGGCTCATCGGCGTTTGTGATTATACGCGTTGCGAGCTTTTGATTTGCCCGCCGAGATGCGATTCCATTGTTTCGCGCCGGCCTTTTTATATCCCCGAGTTTCGAATCGGAATCGAAAAAAGGCGCGTTATTGCGCTCCGAGCTCCATCGCACCGCGTTCGAAAATCCAATCTAATCTGCTTTGCTTTCAGTCCTTTCGCGTTGGCCGTCCGCCAACAAACAACGCCGGCGTATCTTTTGACCGTTTATTTTTCATAAATAATAACAAACTTAAAATATATAAAATAAAAATAAAAAATAAAAAAATAATAAGGATAGAGCTTAGGTCGGAGGGGCCGCGTGTATCGATCGCCTCCTCATGAATATCCTTCCGCTCGTCGGAAATTGCCTGGCGAGCAGGATCAATGAAGACGCCAGCGCCAGCTTCACCGATGCACTCTGCCCTCCTGGTAAACTAACAAAAACGGTGGCAACGGCGGCCACACCATCACCTAAACAGCACAAAATTAACACAAATCAAACATTAAATATTGCAAAATGTAACACAAGGGATAGCTTGAGGATCGGGATATTGAAGAGCAGCAGAAGTACTCTTATTTATACTCCCTTCTCCCATTAATCTACCAGTCTAAATCTCCCGTTAATCTACCAGTTAAATTATTTTTTAAAATATATTTGCCTACGCTCAAGGCGCCTGATTGGATCCGCTATGTTACCTCTATTTTTCTATCTTACTTTTTCCGCCTAGTTTGCTTAACAAGCGACAGATAATTTTCAATGTTGGCGTCAAAAATTTTCGAATAAAGGGTGTTTCAATAAGAGCGCAAGATTTTAAGGTACAATAAAACAATGTTATCTGTAGCAAAATATGGAAATATTTAGTAATTTATCATGTGTACATTTGGGAATTATATATGAAACAAAGTATCTTGTAAATGGCCCACGGCTTTGCTGGTACAAGCGTACTCTTTTGATAACATTTTCAATAGCATTATTGTATATACAGTGCATTTCTTTAATGTCCCTCCCCCCTTTTATTTTTTGAACGGATCAACTTAGAAAATTGAAATTTGGGATAATGAAACTATATTTTGGAGTAAAATAGACAGATGAAAATTTCAAGATGGCGACTGGGCGCCATCTTGGGAAATAAATTTAAATGGAAAGGGGGGTCTTGTGATGCATCATTTTGAAGCTCCTGACAAATACTCTACAACCCTGCAATATAAAGTCAATATCTGCACCTGCTACAAAATGGCGGACATTTATTAATTACCTGAATACACGTTTAACGTTTAACGTCATAATTTGAGGAAATAAGCTGAGGTCAGTTCAAAAAATGCTCGAAATGGTTGCCTTGAACTTTTCGATATAAGAACAGCCTATCCGAACATTTTCGAACATAGTAACGTCGATATTTCTACAAATATCTGTAATTATTTCTCGTATATCCAATATTGAAGCAGGTTTAGTTTCGTACACTTTTTGCTTCAAATAGCCCCATAAAAAAAGTCTAAAGGTGTCAAATCTGGCTAGCGGGCTGGCCATTCCGTAGGACCTCGACGACCAATCCAACGACCAGGGAAAATAGCATCCAAATAGTTGTCAAACATGACAGCCAATTCAAATCTTGCGGTCTTATTGAAACACCCTTTATATGAATGACCGGTTGTGGATGTGGTGCTTACCCGTCGGTTCAACGGCCACGGGTCGCAAATCGTAGTGCGCCGACTTCTTCGGCTTCGTCCTGGCGCCGAGATTCAACGTAACGGTGGCGAAAGGCCGCTTCGCCATGTGCAGCATCTCGACGACGTGCCGCCGCCTGGCCCGTCGCACGTCGGCCGCCTGCTTGGCCTTCCAGCCGACCACGCACGCCGCCAGGAACAGGAAGAAACAGGAGAAGAACACCGAGAAGAAGACGAACAGATCGATGTGGAGCTGGTCCTGGCGCGAGAACACGATGCCGTAGGCCACCTTCTTGTCCGAATCGGTCGGCTCGAGCGCTTGAAGGACCAGGAAAAATCGCGTGGTTTCGAGGCTGTGGTATTCCTAAAAAACGAATCCTTGTAATCTACGCATCGATATTGTAAAACTTTTAACTTACCTCGGGTAACGTTATGACAAGCCTGTCCTGTAAGTGCTTCACCAACAATATAGTCTTTGGTTGAGTTATAGTAATGTACGTACGAAGACCCAAAGCTTCTCTTTCCAAGTAAATATCTTTGTATCGTACCGTACCGTTGCCCCAATGGCCGTAAGTGTTATCAACGTTGATATTGATAAAGCCGTTGGTACCGTTACGATGGGCAACGTAGGTATCGTCGTGAGTGCTCATGTAAACGTTCAATTTTCCTTGGGTTACGTCGATTATTATTCGAATGTCAACGTTCATAAATCGCGGCTGGATGACGAAGAACACGACTTCGCCGGGATGTAGAGGATTCGGTTTCATCTTGCATTCATCTAAAGTTATTATTCATTAGCATCGCTTTAAAGTGATATACCGATTGATTCAATTCAGACCGCAACATGGTCGTTTCTATGAGTTGAACAAAGAAAGATTAGTAAAATAACAGTTGTCAGAGTGAAAAGTTGCAATGACACAAATGTCACTCTTTCTTTTTTCTTTATAATGCCCGATTTCACCAACCAGTTCCAAAAGTTAGGTAATACCTAAACCGGATTTAGGAATTCCTAACTACAAATTGCGTTTCACCATGCACTAAGTAATACCTAAAAGTAATAGGAAATGCCTAAAGTTAGGACAGCTCACTGGACTTGCCTAAAACATTTAGGAAATACTTAACCATACTTTTCATGTGATTTCATGTGACTTAAGTCTTGACTGTCTTTACACTCTTTAGATGAAAATTTAAAATGGGAGGAGAGTTTTTAGAAACTGGACGAAACTGATTTTTTTTTTCGCCTTTTTCGATATATAAAAATACGGCATTACAAATATCAGAAAGAATAAAAGATGATTTTTAATTTGATACACAGGAAGTTTTTGGAACTATTGACCGTACACATGCATGTAAAGATCCATAGTCCTGGAGAAGAAGATGTAGAAATATTTTACAAATCGGAAAGGTTATTTTTCTATTAATGTACAGACTACATCTTCAGCAGATTTAAAAATAACTAACATAGTTTAAAGATGGCCCGGATCATCAACATCTCTTCTTTTCTCTCAACATATTCAATTTCGATCTCCGCTTATTCGGTTTACACGTCAAAATTAGCCAATGCTACCAATAAAATTCAAAAAATTGTCAAAATCAAATTTTTACCTAGGTATTTCTTAGTAAGGGATTTCTAATGTTGGTGAAACTCGATTTAGGTAAGTATTCGATTTAAGTAATTCCTACCTTAGGAATTACCTAGTTAGGAAGTACCTAACAACATGTTGGTGAAATCGAGCATAAGTGTCTAATGGAAGTTTTTATCGCGACTATATAACCTATGTTGCGATCAGGAATGAAGCACATTGTACTAGATCGTTACCTAGGGTCTTCGCGTCGAAGCACATTTTGCTATCGACGTGCATTTGCTTGTAGCACTGATGGCCGGATGTCGGCGTTCCCAGGTAAGTGTCCTTGCATTTCGAGCACTGCACCATCCAGCAGGGATGCGCCGAGTTCTTGTCCGATACGCCGCGACACGTGTCGCTTTCGGTGTTGTTCTGGCAATTGCATTTGTCGCCGTGTATCGGATCGCAGGTGTCGCCGTGACCGTGGCAGTCGCACGGGCGACACGGGTCCCTGTGGTCCTCGGTACCCCGGAAATTACCTATAATTTATTGCATATAATTAGTAGTCGTTTACAGGTTTTGTTGCAACATGAGTAAGGAGTTTTATGGTATAGTACTACCAGAAATAAATGGTTAGACTTTATAATGGTAATAGTTTAGTTATCTTCAGTAGAAGGCAGCTTTGTTTGACCGAGACGCAATGAATAAGTGAAATAATATAGGGTGTTTCAATAAGAGCGCAAGATTTTAAGGTTCAATAAAACAATGTTATCTGTAGCAAAATATGGAAATATTTAGTAATTTATCATGTGTACATTTGGGAATTATATATGAAACAAAATATCTTGTAAATGGCTCACGGCTTTGCTGGCACAAGCGTACTCTTTTGATAAAATTTTCAATAGCATTATTGTATACATACGGCGGTTTTTTATTGATACAGCGTCTAATTTCGGCTTTCAACGCTTAGGTGGTCGCGGACATGTTGGTATAAACCTGTGACTACAAGTTACCCCACAGCCAGAAGTCCAAAGGTGCTAAATCACAAAAAACGTGGCGACTAATTCTGGTCACCAAACCGGTAAATGACCAGACCGGGAGTAATGTTTAACAATTAAGACGTGATTATGTTCCATATCCAGATTCATATCCAGTTCCAATGAACCATATTTACTAACTTCCAACTGTCAACTTTCGATCTGTCATATTATAATCACGTGTCATTATGACTGTCAAACATGACAGGCAATTCAAATCTTGCGGTCTTATTGAAACACCCTTTATAATGAAAAAAATAATATTTCTGACCATTACAGATAGAGTAACCGCTGGATGGAAATGGAAAGAGTCTAACAATTTATTTCTGGTAATGTTACATCTCTTCTAGAACTCAACATTCTTTGGATCAACTCAAAGAATTGTCTGGTATTGGAATATCTAATAATCGAATATAATCTGTATTACCTTTGATGCAGTCGTCGCATCTAATGCCAGATGTCAAATTACCGCATCTCAAACACTTGGCGTTGGTTTTGGGGCCTTCTTTCAACGTTTTGTTCAAGAATTCCAGATCGATATAATCGTTAGCGTCGATGTCTGTGGTGTTATCGACGCAAAATGAACTGTGACCGTGGCAATATTCGAAGCAGGACACGCAAGCTCCGCCGTCGGCTGGATCGCCGACGAACAACGGTTTACATTTTTCACATTGCGCTCCCTAATAAAATAAGTACTTATAATACAATCGTTACCGGTGTTTTTTCGAACTTGCCATTGTGTTATTGAAACATTCCAAGCATTTGTCCAGTTTATCCGGTCCTTCGCAGTTCGCGTGGCCGTTGCATTGGCATTGAATGCTGCAATTGGCGCCCACGTAGCCGAAATCGCAGAGGCACAAGTTGGGCTGGATGCACTGGCCTCGAACGCATCCTAAAATAACATTAAATTTCAATTTTTCATCTAACCCGCGATATTAATGTTTCACTCACCCAACGTACAAACCGGTTCGCATCCGTGGATGCCCAACTTGTAGCCGGGGCCGCATTTGCATTCGAATCCCTCCTCCAAATCCACGCAAATTTCGGACTCGATCGCGCACGTATGGTGCCCGTTTTTGCATTCGTCCTCCGGCGGGCACTTCACGTAATGCCACGAGAAAGTCACGTTATCGTACGATTCCTCGTCGACCTCCAATTCCTACAAAAACAAAACCAATAAACCGAAAACTCCTCGACCAACACCGCCGCTCACCGAGCCCTTGTTCTCCACGTGAATCTCCTTGCACGATCCCAGCACCGGTCGCTCGTTCGATCCCTCCGTACAGAATCCCTCGCCGCTCAAGCCGGGCGAGGCGCACCAGCCGCACGGCGCGTACTTCAGGCACCGCGAGCACTGCGTGAACGTGTTGCACGGTTCCGGGCAATGCTTCCGCTCGTCGGGCCTCAACACCAGGCCGCAAACGCCGCCGGCGCAGTACACGTTCTGCAGCGCCTCCGGCACGCATTCGTCCAGCTGCGTCGACCAGTGGCAGTCGGGCGCTTCCAGGCAGGCCGTGCACGTCGGATAGTTGATGCACGGTTGCAGGCAACTGGCCACCGAATTCGTTTCTTGCTCTTGAGTCACTGAAATTGTTTATGGTAGTTTATGGTACTAGCTTAACTCCGATCCCTCAAAGTAGCCACCGAAAGTTAGTCCAAGACCAAACAGCCCGAAGACAAAGGAGACCAAACACAGTTCCAGTAAAACCAAAAGCACTTTAAGAAAGGTTATTGAAAAAATCGTGCTTGGTTTTGGGCGTGCTTGTCTTTAAGCTATTTTGAGGGGTTACCAAACTCAATGGAGTAATGTTTGTAGAAGTGCATTTACCTGGTACGCACTGTCGTCGGGAGAAATTCCAATCGCAGCCGGGTATTTGATGGCATTGCGCGCAATCGGTGGCGGCGCATTTACTATAAGGACAAGTGGTTAGAGTCGAATTGCAACTGTTTGTTTTACTTGTACAGAATCCTTGGCACCAAGAGCACGAGCCGGCCTGCAGGCAAGCCGTGCAATCTTGTATCGTTGAACAATTGCTGGGCGTCGTTTCGTATATATTGAACAAGGAGCAAGCTTGACTGTCGTTTGTGATAAGAGAAGCTAAATAGGACATATAATAAAATTAGCCAAATAGCACGAACGTCTGTAATACCAACTCTTTTATGGAGTCTACATTTTTCTGCTACTGTTATAAACTTACCGTAATCAACGGTTTCCAACGAACAAGTTTTCGTTGTCGAATGGCACTCTTCCTCGATTATGTCGTCTCCCATTTTGTTTGCACAGTATCCACAACCCGACATGTACAAGCAGGTGGTTTTTTTAGGGAACAGGTTGCATAAATCAACGGGTAATTCGATTCTGAGCACGGTGCTTTGGGTGTCTATGCCCCAGCCTCCGATTGTGTAAATGGCGTCACCATCGGGCTCTACCGTCATCGCCTGAGCGTACGTTTGCGTAGGAATCGGGCCGACTCGTTCGATATCTTAAAGAGCAAACCGATTTAAATACGCTTACATTTAATAATTTAATAATCCCTACCGTGTTCCATTAAATTCAACCAACGGTTGCAATTGTATGAGTAAGCGTATAATGTATCCGTATCATTCCACGGGTACATTTTTCCTCCCATAATAACCATATAATCTTCCGTAGTAACAGCCGAATGGAAAAATCTTGGTCTTGGCTAGAAAATGATAGGTATAAATTACACTACTTCTGGCACATTGAATAATACTAACCCAATGTATCGAAGAACCTAAACTCGTTAATAACGTCCACGTTCTATTTTCGTAGCTAAACATGTACAAATTGTTCGAGGTAGTGGATAATTGTCTCTCGTAGATAACACCTCCGAACACGAACAGATTATTGCTCTGCGAATGATACACGGTGGAATGTCCGAAAATTCCCAACGGCGCCGGTCCTCTCGTATTCATCGGTATCCAATGTTCCTTGTGGTCTTTCTCTTTGTTCAATTTATAAGCCCAAACCATGTTGAGGAATCCGGTTTGCGGCGAAACGCCGCCTATCAGTATCAAACTCTCTTGCGCCTTGTGATATGTAAGGGTGTGTCCGCAAACGGCCGGAGGCCACAGGGAAGCGTCGGTCTTTTCGATTTCGCTCCACCTAAAAAAACATCGAAAAATCTACACTACCAGCGATATTTTCGTTCTCAACTAGCAACTAAAGTTCGTACATTTTAAAATGACAATGACGTCAAATTGAGGATTTCTGCAACGGTTTAAAGGATGCTAGACAGTTCTAAATGGCTCTGGAGCGCTCTAAATGATTCTAGACCGTTCTAAATAATCCTGAACAATTCCAAATGATTCTGGAGCGTTCTAAATGATTCTTAAGCGATTTACATTATTATAGACAGTTCTAAATGGTTCTGGAGCGCTCTAAATGATTCTAGGCCGTTCTAAATAATCCTGGACAATTCCAAATGATTCTGGAGCGCTCTAAATGATTCTAGGCCGTTCTAAATAATCCTGGACCATTCCAAACGATTCTGGAGCGTTCTAAATGATTCTGGAGCGGTCTACATTATTATAGACAGTTCTAAACGGTTCTGGAGCGCTCTAAATGATTCTAGGCCGTTCTAAATAATCCTGGACAATTCCAAATGATTCTGGAGCGTTCTAAATGATTCTGGAGCGGTCTACATTATTATAGACAGTTCTAAATGGTTCTGGAGCGCTCTAAATGATTCTAGGCCGTTCTAAATAATCCAGGACAGTTCCAAACGATTCTGGAGCGTTCTAAATGATTCTTAAGCGATCTACATTATTATAGACAGTTCTAAATAGTTCTGGAGCGCTCTAAATGATTCTAGGCCGTTCTAAATAATCCAGGACAGTTCCAAACGATTCTGGAGCGTTCTAAATGATTTTGGAGCGGTCTAAACGATTCTAGATAGTTCTAAATGGTTCTGGAGCTTTCTAAATGATTCTAGGCAGGCTTTCTAAATGATTCAAAAACTATCTTAGAACGTACGAACTTTATATCCGTTTAACTGTTAAGAAATACGGAAGAACACTATTGAAGTACCTTTGATTTTGTATATCGAATTGCCAAAAGTCGTCTAACGTCCGATTTCTAAAATTCTTGTGTTTCTTCGACAATCCTCCGTAGACATAAATAGTCTGCGTGTGTCCAATATCGGCCCCGTGGAAATACCTTCCCATTGGCATTTTGGCGTCGGGAGTGGATTCGATCGTAACCTGCATCCAAGTCAGGTTCTTGGTGTCGAACAAACGCACGTCGTTTAAAGGTCCGTGAGATAAAGAGTACCCGCCGAACATCCACAAAGCTCCCCTCCGATCGGACACCAGAGAATGACCGAAACGAGGCAACGTCTTCCGGAAATGCTCCAACGAATCCGACAATTTAACCGTATTGAACAATTCGGTAAATATAACTTGAGTATTAGTTTTTCTGAAAAGAAAATACACAAACGTTCAAATCGCAAAAAAATCTTGTTAGGTATTACAGATCTTACTTCACTTCGCAAGCGATTCCCGACCATCCTTCGGTACATAAGCATCTTCCGTAGCTCCTGTCGCAAGTGCCTTGACCCAGGACGTAATTGCAATTATCGTCGCAAATGACCTCCTCGCAGTTGAATCCCACGAAACCCTCCCTGCATATGCACTGCCCGTTTTTGCACACCCTAGGCGGCTCGCAATTATCACAGGAAATCACTTTGTAGAAGGCGTTGAAGTTTTCGCCGCGCTGGCCTTGCTTGTAATGGACCGTTAATTGACCTACGATTAAAAAAACCGCGATTAATGATTTACTCAAAAACTGTAAGATATACAGGGTGTTAATTAAGTGGGGCTGTGAATATTTGGATTATTTTAAGAAGAAAAGTGTATTACCTGTTCGTGATTCTACAGTAGAAATTTTCGATGCTTCCTCGCTACAAAAAACAGCCGATAATGGACTCTGGCTACCCATATCAAGAAGTTCCGGAAGTCCATCGAAGACATACACAGCGTTTTCTCCGCATGAAATGTTTAATTGAGACGATTTAATCTGTAACGTAAAACATCAAAGTTCCAGAAACGAAATATCATTCATCAATCAATAATGTTTATATCATCTCTATCTACCTGTAGCTGGATAATCGGTAATCCGTGTTTAACGTCAGGCCTTATAATCCATATGCACTCCCTAGTGGGCGTTCCGCCCCAAGGTGGGATATAAGCCTGCTTTGAACTAATACCTTGTCCTCTGGGGTCCCTAAGAACTCCTCTGTCGCATTGGAAATAACACTGTTTCCCGTCTGTAGGGTTACCGAAGTATTTAGGTTTGCAACGTTCGCAATGATCGCCTCGAGTGTTGTCTTCGCAGAAACAGATTCCCGTTTCCATGTCGCATTCGCCCTTCTCTTTGTTACCGTGTCCGTTGCACTCGCATTTCTGACAACCTGTTACATATTTAATCGTAAATACTTCGATGTAATGCGAGCAGAACTTACCTTGTTCGGTCGTCGCGTTCCCGTAGCTGCCAGGTGTGCAAAATTCGCAAAATTCCCCTTGAGTGTTGTCCATGCATTCCTCGCAAATTCCCTCGCCTTTCGGACACGCCGAATGATTATTGCAACCGCAGTTCTTCGAACAGGCGTCTCCGTACCAACCTAAATCGCATTTACACGAATAGTCGGGCTCTCCTTGGCACACGCCGTGCACGCAAACGTTGTAGCAAGTCCTGTGGCAATTCTTCCGACCGTCGCCGATGTATCTGTTGGAAAATACGCTCGTTATTATCGAAGAGGTGAGTACGATTTAATGTATAACGCACCCTTTTTTACAATGGCAACTAAAAGAGCCGTCGGTGTTGGTGCAAATGGCTTGTTCGTGGCAATCGTGCAATCCCAATCCGCATTCGTCGACGTCCGGGCATTGGGCGTAGGCCCAACGGGCCTCGGGCGAACTCAAAGCCTTCGAGCAATTGACGTGGGGATTGTTAAAATCTCCTTGGACGCAAATACCTGAAGCCAAAACGCCACCAAATTTTATATTTCGACGGGCTATATCTTTTTAACTATTGCACATTTTGAGCGAATGAAAATGGTTTTGAGTTTTAATGAATCATTTCTAGTCGTATCTTTTGCTGAAATCCGCATATCACACATCGCTCTTATACAAGGTGTTAATTATTTGAGTGCCGATACTTCAGGATGTGAAAATTTGGATTTGGTTTTAGAAAAAAAAATTACTTTTCTATTACCGCAAATATTTTTATGAAATTTTGTACACACGTTTTAATTATTAAGCACTTTTTGAAGCAAAAATTGTTTTTAAATGTTTACCAGTGACGTCCGTACGGGGTTTGAATTGAATATGTTTGAAGAAAAAATGGTTACGCCACTTTTTTTTCTAAAAACCAAAATTTATTTTTAAAATCTTTGTTTATTTTGGAGCAAATTAGGCCCGAAGACTTACTTTCTTACGAAGCACCATTTTCGCGTAAAAAAATAAAAACCAAAACAATTTCACCTCAAATTCGTTGAGTCTGCTTTTGATATTTTTTTGAAATTTGGTAGGCGCCCATAGCATAGAAACACTTTTTTCTTGGGACAATAATTAATATTCTACTATTACCAGCGACGTCCAAGTCCAAAATTTCATAAAAATATCTGGTGTAATATGAAAATTATGATAGAAAAGTTATTTTTTTTAACTGTAACACTCTGTAGCTCGAAAACTAAGAGGTTTAGGACACATATCAATATAAACTTTTCTTCTTAAAATCACCCAAATGTCCACGTTCCGAAGTATCGGCACTCAATTAACCAACACCCTGTATAATTCGAGCGACTCACCTGCCATGGGATTCGAAGCGTTATAGCACCAACCGCAGCTCAAGGACCTCAGGCAAATCGAACAATTCGTGTTCATCGAACACGTCTTGCATTGCTCCTGCGTTTTCGGCAGCGGTATTATCCCGCTTTCCTGCTTCGTCACCAACGGAAAAATCTGATCCATCCACTCGCGGCACAAACCGAACTGGTACTCGCTCGTATAAACCGAAAAACTGAAGCACTGCTGCGTGGCCTGACACCAAACACATCGACCTACAAAGAAAAATCACAACTGATTGTTAGAGTACAAAATTCCCGGAAGTTAAACCGACCTTTTTGCTCCAAACACGACCCGCAATCCAACCGCTTGTGGCACGGAACGGGACATTGCTCCAAAGCCACCGCCGCCGTCGTCCTTTGCCCGATTCGCTGGCACCGCGCCTCGTCTATCCACCATTCGCACAGCCTCGATTCGATGCAGGAATCGCACGATATGTAGTTGGAGCAATTCGAACAGGCGCTCGGCTGCAGCGTCAGGTACTTCCAGTCGCCGGCCGACGAACAGCTGATCTCCTCGTTTTCGGCGCGCGATTGACAGGTACCGGTCAGCTCGCACCAGCCGCATTGCGAATCGGTGAGGCAATGCAGGCAGTTCTTGTATTGTTCGCACGTACCGTTCGCGTACGGTTCCAGATATTCGAACGTGAAAACCTACAAAATTTTATATTAAACAACTATACACTGTTGGAAAATTATTCGCGCATAATAGGGAAATCAATGTTAAATTCTTAGCCGGCTGAAATACAGTCTACCAGTGTACATTTAAATAGAACGTCGCGATAAATTCTAATAAATTTAATTGTTCTACTGGACTTCACACCGCGCTTTGGCTTGGTTAGATTAAAAATCAAATAATTTCGACGGTTTCGACAGTATCAAAACGGGTTCGGATGGGTGAACGTCGAGTCGAATAAAAAGAAATGAGAATTTTTAAACGATAATTTATTGAAAAAATATCACTAATATTAAAATAGAATTATGTAGATATGTCTTTTTGCCACAATGGCTTGAAAAAGAAAGTAAATTCTAAGAAAATAATAAAAAGGAAACTTCAAAAATAAACTTAAAGATTATTTTAAAACAGAAAATAAAAGAACTCTAAAAAATAGTCCACCGCCTTCTGCTAAACAATAGCCAAACCTGTCATACAGATGTCATCTCATATTACTGAGCTGAGGTGTAATTTTAGCAGAAAATTGAATTATTTTTTCCTTATTTTTCCTTATTTTAACAAGATTTGTTGCTCTTTCAAAACTGTACCTACCGATACACACATTTTTTTGAAATATCCCCAAAAAACCTATTAATTGTAGTTTCTAAATAATTTTGTACCTCATACCTAACACAAATAACTTTGTACCTCTACAAATCGTGGCGTGCGGTCCAGTAGAACAATTAAATTTATTAGAATTCATCGCGACGTTCTATTGAAATGTATACTGGTAGACTGGATTTTAGCCGGCTAAGAATTTAACATTGATTTCCCTATTATGCGAAATTAAATTTCCAACAGTGTATACTACGAAGATTACTAACGCAAACACGCTTGTGAAACGCTTACTTTAAAAACATCCTCGGAATCTTTGTAATGCGATAGTTCCATTTTATTCTGCTGGGTGTAGATCGGTTGGATGTTGACGATTTTCCGCGATTTAAAATCGACCGGTATGCGATCTAAGCTAATGTTGTCGGGCATCATTAGGGCTTTGCAGGCCTCCGGAGTGACGTTAGCTACCAGGTAATTGGATAACGTTAACGTAGCGGAGCAGTAGCTAACGCAGACGTTCAGCATTTCTTGCCAAGTGTTCGGTAGCCTCAGGAAGCCTAACAGGCGCGCCACCATTTCGCCGGTGGATATATCGTTGCGGAGCAGCGATATCGACGGGCTAACGAAATCCACCTGAAGCACAATGAAGGTTTATTCAAGCCCTGTAGGTGATTAACCGATTACTCACCGTCGTAGCGTTAATTATGGCGACGTTATCGGGTTGAGAATAATTGACCGGGTGGTGGTATTTGACGAACGTCAAACCGGGCCTCTTATCCAGCTCCCTGCATTGATCGGGACTCACGACTTCCGTGCCTTTCACGCCCCACCAGCCCGGTATCTGGCTCGGGCTGTCCTCCTGCAAGCCGCAAACGCCGTAATTGTCGTCTTTGTGATGGCATCTGGCGTTCTGGACGCACCAGGTGCATTCTTCTAAACCTTTAACAACCAAAATTGGTCAATATTGGCAAGAGAAAGAAACCTCGTACTATTGTTATAGCATAGACTGAAAGAATACAACAAGTAGGCAAAGGAAATTGTTTCTAAAAGCCCAGATTGAAGTCGATATGCACTCGAAAGTATTGAGGCACATTCTGCTTTTCTCAGGTTTCTAAAGTAATTTGAGTAATTTTTGAACTACCTACACTCCAATTCTAATAATTATTTCTGTAATAATTATGCTAAGAAGAGTGCCATTTGCAAAATATACAGCCATTGCCCTAACGTATTGAATCGTAGGGTTCTGGAATCAACAGGAAACCCATGACATTTGTCCAGAATAGAAATACAAGGTTTCCTCAGGTTTCCACAATCCCTTTCCAAGAAAAATCCTGTTGATTTCCCTCCAGAACAACTCCTTCGAGTAGTATTTGAATTATTTCATGACCCACCTCAAATCGACTCTTCCACATAAACCAAGACAATACCCACCTAATTTGTGAGCGGCGGAGACAATGGGCATGTACTCCGGCGACGGATGTCCGTGTATGAGGCAAGAGTGGCAATCGGCAAGAGCGGGGCAAACGCCCGGGCACCTGGTGGTCTGCAGGTTGGTGGTGCAGTTCGCTCCGATGGTCCTTCCGTAGCACTGTTCGTCGGCGGAGCACCATCCGCATTCCGGATCGGCGGAGCACTCGCCGTAGTTCTTGTGGCGCACGCAGGCGGTCTCGGGGTCGTAGAGTTCGCCCTTCCTCACCGCCACCATCGGGGGCACCGTGTAAGCCAGGAGGTCGCCGTTGACGTTGCCGTGGTAGCCGCCGACTAGGAGGAGGGTGTTCTCGTTGCGGACGGCGGAGGCGTGGGCGAATACGCCTGTAATGTAAATCGTGGGCTCGATAAGGAAGCAATAACTTCTCAAAAGTGTCTACGGAATCGTCGAGAATAAACTATAATGCTCTATGAAGAGTTAGAAGATGTGTCAAAGATGTTTAGAAAGCTTCTTCAGCAGTATACATTTTTTTGAATGAACCTTAATTTCTGAACCATAGATGGATTTAATTCTGTTGTAGTATTTTATCTCAAAGTAATCAGGGTTGTTTTGATCTACTGATAATCTGGAATGGAAAATGTACAAATGTGTAAATAAACATATAATAAGGGAAAAATCAACATCTAAATCTCTAAAATCCAAAGATTCTTTTACTGAAGAGTAAATAATTTTAAAATAAAAAAGGTTGAAAAACAAAATTTCCAAACTTTCTAAAAGTTTTCTAATGATTGTTAAAATATAGAAATAAAGAGGTTGGAAGTTAAAATAACTGAAAATTCTGTGTTTATCTTAATTCTTTCAGATTACTGTACTATTAATCAGCAAAAATTCGAATTCAAATCATTAGTTAAATATTTGTTAAGTAATATTTTCTATGAGATGTGGATAATCCATAGAGCGCAGTAACATTCGTTAAATCACTGTTTGCAAAACTAATTTTATTCTCAATTATATTTGTTTTTTATAATACCTGTAGGTCAAGTTAATATCCAATATAATTTTGATAAAAAATAGAAACGATTGTAGGAAATACATAGAATTTAATTGCACATAAGGACAAACAATGAAGGTTAGATCAGCATGAGAACGTATATTATATTTTTTTAATAGGCAAGTATTTTGTAGAAAGAAAATGTGTGAAATCTATTAAAGAATTTAAATCTGTTGAATAATAAGCAGATTAAATTTTCCGTGGAAATTCTTTCTGAATAAAACAATTTTGTTTAAATGAAAGATTTCATTATTGATATACAATACGATATTTAATGCATCAAAAATTACCTATACTCAATTATCTTTAATGTCCTTGTTTACCGGTTTGAAACACGGGCATGGGTAATTTATTCAGAATACTTAGTATGTAATTAATTAATTTGCCTTTGAATTCATAACGAGTTTAAAAAACGAACACATGAAACTGTTTACTAAAGCAATAAACAAGTTTAATTTTACAAATAAATGTCTAGAATTTATAAAGCGTCTATCCTTAATGTGAGGATAAAAAATTACTTCAAATAATCCTTACCTTGCTGTTTTGGATATTTAGAATCGTTCGTCTTTCCCAAAATATCCGGATTGACCCAGGTGTGACAGCCCAAATGGTACAAATACATCTGATTGTCGTAGCAAATTTCTTCCTTGTTATGTCTGTGAGAATAGCCTCCGAAAACGATGAGATAATTTCCAAAAATATTGGCCGTATGGAAAGCCCTCTCTCTTGGCACGAATTTCTCCCTCAGAGCCTCTCTCGTGTAATGTATTTCCGTCCAATGCAGGTGATCCAATTGAAAGACGAACATCTTATCGGATAACTTGGAAAACCTGGCTACTCCAGGAACTATACCACCGTAGACAATGAGAGAATTGGTATGCGAATGATATGTAGTAGAATGCGCGACTACTCTAACATCTAGCTGCTTTCCTCCTCTAGGTTTAATCTCCTGCCAGGATTCATCGAAATCCGGCAACAATTGGATAGTATACAGAGTCGAAGAAAAATCCCCGCTTTCCGTACTCCCTCCAAATAAATATATCACATTATTAACACAAGTTAGGGTATGTCTAGTTAAGCGGGGGGCTACTAAAGTGGATAATACGGCTCGCAACTGCCATTGCCTGGTTTGTACGTTATAATACCACAAATCGTTGGCTAAGCTGCCGTTCTGGAGTTTCCCCCCGTACAGAACGAACCCTTGGGAGACCGCACAAGCCGAATGGCCGTACCTCGGAGAAGGCTTCAGCTCGTCCGGAACTCTGGAATGTCTCTGTCGTCTTCTAGCGTGCGTCGTATTTTCAGTCGCAGCGTACAGAAGGTTCCTCAAGAACGATGTGCGGCTGCTGAGACCCCATTTTTGCTCCCAATCGGGTCCCGCTTGTTCGATTAGCCTGCCAATTGAACTCGGTTCGATCGGGTTCAACAGGCCCGTATCGGGAATGATCGCTCCGTGCTCGTCCCTCCAATTGCTAGATTGAAAGCTATATATTTCTAAATTACCGAGTACAACATTGAGATTATATCCTCCAAATACATATAAAGCGTCAGTCATTTCTATGTAAACTGCGGAATGAGCTGCGCGGGCTTGTAAACCGCCCTCGGAATGTGATAACCAGTGCCATTTGTTTCCTAACGAATCGAATTCGTAGAGATTGCAGGATTGTCCGGAATATCCAGATCTACATACGCATTGGCCTTGATCGCAGTGGCCATGGCCAAGGTGTCTTCCGCAGTTGTCGGGACATAGCTGCCTTGAACAATCGAATCCGCCCCAGTCCGTTTCGCACACGCAGCTGTGATTGTAGCACACCCCGTGATCGGAGCAATTGTTAGGACAGTCGGTTATTGAGTATTCAGCCCTAAATCCATCTAACACATAATTCGTATCACTATACAATAATATTAACATATAACCAGAAGATGCGATTATCTCCTGGGGTTCAGTCTTTCCGCTAAAGCTGCCTAATAGTGGAGAATTAAACGAATCCCCATCGTACACAAACACATAATCGTATGAGCACTCTGTGCCCATGCTACGGAATTTTAAGGTAATGAATTTGTTGCTGCTGTTGGCCTTGATCAACCACTCACAATGACTATCCTGGGTGTAATTCATCTCCTGGGGCCCGTCGCTGATAACGCCCCATGATGTTTGGAAAATTCTACGGGATTTGTCACATCCCGTTTGCGATACCAAGTCCACGGCCGCGTATCCGACTATTAAGAAACATAACACTATTTCTGTAAGCGAGTAATTGATTATTTGAGGACGCATATTGTCGAACTGAGCAATATTTTATGAACTTGTTGACTTGAGCAGCGACATTTCCATTATTGCTGGTTGATTGATTTTTCACACCGATAAACAATCACTTTAGGAAAACTTATTTAATATACTAAGCGAAAGCAACAAAAACATTTTTTGAGTATTTTGACAATTGTTCATAGTGATTTGTTTTGACGTTTGATGACAGTCCTGTCCGACTGACTGACATTTATATTGTTTGTTCGTTTGTCCAATTTCAATCATTTCGGTTGAGTGCTATCCCTCTCTAGCAGATGCAGTAGAATGGGTGGGAGATAAGATGCGATTTCAATGCGTAGTAACGTTGTCAGATCAAAATTTTAAAAATCCTCAAAAAATCATTAAAAAATTTTAGTGTTTAAAAACTTGAAAATTAATTGATTCTTTTAACAAATATAAAAAAAAGTAAACTGTTAGTTTGAATTATAAGTAAAATAATGTAAAAACGATTCATTATTAAACAATATTTATTACTTATTTATATCTTTTATTTTTGTACATTCAATTATTTAGTGAAATATCAGTACATTTGGCAATGTTGCTTCTTCTTTTTTGCAAAAGTTTGTAGACATGCGCAAAATAAAGTTCTAGACATTTCTAACAGCTGACATTTGTTTTGAAGTTTCTGTATTTTTTTTAGTTCATAAGTGAACGTTACTTTGTCGAGGTTATGTGTTCAAATTTTTAAGAATAATATTTTATTTCATACCAAATGAATATTAATTAGCATTCGGGAATTTGATGTTAGCTTGTTCTGTTTATTAGTTAATAATTTATTCAACAAAATTAATCTAAAATTGGCGAAATTAGTTAATAGTTATCTCAACAGTGTATAAACAAGTTCTGACATGTCAGGACCTGCCTCTGCAGGAGCGGGAACCTCCGTCGATTTCGATGGAGAAGACGACGATGATAACAACCTCCCAAATATTCTTACTCATCATGAAATTTCCAAGACAGACAAATCAAACAGCCAATCTTGTCTTGTAGTTTCCCAGCCGAATATATCCATACCGGTTAGTTTGCTCATAGAATCGCTTGTCAAGAACATTTGCTCAATTTTCGAGACTGATCAGAAAAAAGCAGAAAATATGTATAAAATAATTTGTGATAAATTGTACCATATGAATCTTCTCAGTGAAAGTTACAGTATGAACGAATTCGAGGGTATAAGAAGCCAATATCAGAGGGCTTTTATTCAACTGTTGTCCTCCGTTAAAGACGACAAGTCTTTACCTCTCAGTCCCATTTGGCCTAAGCCTGATTTTAATTCTCACTACCATAGAGAATTCGAAGAAGTCGAGTACATCGCAGGTGGAGGCTTTGGTCAGGTACGATTATTTACTTTATTTTCGAATAATTTATTTTGTCTTTATGTGATATGAATCACACTATTATAAACACTTCAGTATTTATAGAACTAATCTTATCTAATAATTTGGGGTTTATAAAGGGTGTCCAAATTTGTCATTAACACCTTTGCTCTTGGGGATTTAATTGAGAATTTCTAATTAATCATTTTATACTTTTCAGGTTTATAAAGTCAAGCACAAACTGGACGGAACGGAATATGCAGTAAAAAAAATCTCCATTCGCACAGAAGGCATACAATCCGTGAGGACTTATTTATCTGAAGTGAAAACTTTTGCCAGTATGAATCATTCTAACATTGTCCAGTACAAAGGCGCTTGGCTGGAAATGGGAGCACCTACGAGCAAAATCATAGAGCATAAGGAGTCCGAGAGCCTCACATCAGTTACCCAAATGACGGAATACATCTTTCACGAGGAGAGCACCCAGTCTTTTACGAAAACCCAAAAAGACGGTAGCACTGATTTTCAAATCGACTTTGAGCATAGCATTAGCGGGGCCAGTTCCAAATCCAGACCATCAAATGGATCATCCAGGTATGAAGAAATCGTTTTACTAACATGTTTTTAGATGATTTTCTAACACTTTTGTTTGATCACTCTCTTTGTTATTAGGAGAAAGAAGAGGAAAAGTCTCTCGGAGGGCGCGGAAGATTTGGCATTAGAGAAGTTAGATTTAAAGGAAATTCAAAGAATCAGATCTCTCAATAAATCGAAGGTCAGATGGGCAACGTTGTACATCCAAATGGCCCTTTGTCATTCCACTTTGAAGCAATGGTTGGAAAAGAGGAATGAAGTTTCTGATCCCGAAACGGCCATAGTACCTCTAAACGGGACATCGATTAACACTGTCAATCAAATTTTTATGCAGTTGTTAAAAGGTTAGTGACATATTTTGATTATTTTGTGTTTGTATTTTATTGATATCAACTTATCATATTTCTCTATGAGTCACACAGAGTGCTTCATTGGTAAAGGACAATACTTTGATTGTAGATAAGTATCCTCTTCACACATTCATTAAGTGTACCAATTTAAATTGATGAATTATCAGAAATCATTATAACTATAATACATATTTGTTGTTTTTACTAGTTTAAAAATATAATATTAAGGATGAAATTTAAAATTGTGTTTATGCCAATTTTACAGATATCCTTGGATTATTATGATAAGCAGTCATTATCAGTTTGTTAGCACTTAATGCACTGTTACGAATTGTTTTAATACAATAAACACGAACGAAACATTTTCAAACAGTGTTTATGTCTTTAATACAATTTTCGAAATATCAATTTCCGTTTTACATCTTTATGTTTCTACTAAAATACAGCAATGATAAGAGCTAATTATACACATCATTTTTTTATACTCCATTGATAAAGCTAATTAAAATATTGCTCGTAAACTACTACATTAATTACTCGATAATTACATTGTTATTAAATTTATTTATACTGCATATATTTTCTTTACAATGTGTTTCATTTTCCAGGACTTGAATACATTCACTCGAAGGGCGTAGTCCACCACGACATCAAGCCGAGCAACATCTTCATTCAAATCGAAAACGGGAGTTATTTGATACAATTAGGCGACTTTGGATTGGCCTGTCCCCTACAAAGCGTCCGTCACAGTCTGGCTTTCGGCACAAAACTATACGCTGCCCCCGAACAGCTAGCCGGAAGTTGCAATCCGAAGGTAAGATATCACCGGATCATGTCTTATAATCCATTGTAAAGTTCGTACGTTTTAAAATAACAATGACGTCAAGAGAATCGCTGGGAGTCGTTTAGAACTTAGAATGATTCAGGGTGATTTAGAACGCTCTAGAACCATATATAACTATTTAGAATGCTCCAGAATCATTTAGACGGCTCTAAAATCGTTTAGAACACTCTATAACCATTCAGAACTGTCTAGAACCATTTAGAATGTTTCAGAACCATTTAGAACGCTCCAGAATCATTTCCAACTGTTTAGAATCATTTATAACTGTCTAAAATCATTTAGAATAACCCAGAACCATTTAGAATGCTTCAGGACCGTTTAGAACGTTCCAGAATCAGTTGTGACTGTCTATAACCATTTAGAACCATCTACAATAATTTAGAACGCTTCTGAAAACAAAACAAAAATCGCTGGGTAAGTCACAAACTAATACTGTGTACACTTTTTCAGAGCGACATGTACTCCCTGGGCATCGTACTCTTCGAATTGGTGCAGAACTTCCGAACGGATATGGAAAGAGTCGAGTACATTTCGGAACTGCGCAAGGGCGGAATGCCTTCGAACGTGCACGTGAAGCATCCGCTGATCGCCGAAGTCATCGAAAAGCTGATGGTTCGCAATCCGGACTCGAGGCCCGACACTACGACGCTGATCAGGGCCTACAATTCCACGGAGAACGAGCAACTCAGGATGCAGTTGGCGGAGAAGGAGGAGGAAATACTGCACTTGAAGGAGCTGCTCAAAATGCACGGCATTAAGAGCATTTAACTAATTTGTGATAGGTGTATGGTAGGGTAGCACCGATTACTTGTTAATGATAAGTTTTAAGAGAATTTCGCAGGGGAATCTCCGAAATATTTGTTCCAAATACCTTTTAAATTCGTATGATTTTCCAATAATTTTGCAGTATGTTTTATTTCTTCTCAATTTTTTAATTAATCTTAAATTTTTATAATTATGCTTTATTATTATCTGGTAAATTTGTGATTATATATTTTATGTTTATACCGCTACATCCTATACATCATTTACTTCTGGTAAAATTTGTAATTGTTTAAGCAGGGTTTATTATACAAATTTCAGCGACTGACTACTTAAAGTGAAAGTAAGGTGCTATTCTATAAAATAGGCCAAAATTGCTTCCAAGTTAAAAATTTAAAGATTATTTTTGTACTCATAGTACAACGTTTTTAATAGACAATCTGTTACGGTTTTAATTGTCTGTAGGATGGCTGCAATTGGGGAATATAAATTGCGCCATTCAGACTGATGTCTTTAAAAAACTTAACTCAGGAGCGTGAATATTAGTATTTTTCTGTTGTGTCAGTCTATATTATTTGACTTTAGATAGTAAAATAAATCGAGTTTTATTATATGAAGTCTCGACAGAAAGTGCACTTTTTGCATTTTTTACAATTGTTACTCTTTTAGAAATTAAAAAGTGATATTTTCTGTAAATATTATATTTATTGTTTTTTTGATAAAAATTTCTGACGTATTCCAGCGTTTTATTAATGTCCACCGATTCACATTAACTGCTTGAGAAGAAAGATGTGATCCTCAAAAATCGTTTATTTCATAATTTAAAATATAAAATATTTTTAAACTTATTTAATCGGTGCAAGCACCATCGTTTTGCTAACTATTTTCCCTCCGGATTTCGTCAGCAAGTTGTTGCCCTGCCATTGGGCTACGCATTCGGAGCTAGTCTTTAAATCTACTTGCAGTTTCTCCCAAACCTTCTTCTTGGGATTCAAGACTTCATCTGCCTTGCCACCTTCGAAATTTTCTACAAACACCCTTTCTCCAGGCACAGCGTCAGATGGCGGAATTAGAACTTCAACTTGCTTAGGGTCATCTCTAAAATAACAAAAATTTGCTTAGTTTTCACATTCCAAACCCGCTGTATTACTTATTGGTAAAAGACCACATTAACTCCTTTATCAAACAGACAAAATGCTTACACAGAAGCGCAGAGAACCATTCCTTGGGACTCGATTCCCCTCATTTTGGCTGGTTTTAAATTACAAAGTACCACAACCATTCTGTTCTGCATCTCTTCGACAGGTACAAAATTAACTAAACCGCTAACGATGGTTCTCGGTTGTTCTTCACCCAAGTCAATTTTTTCAACGTAAAGCGAATCGGCCTCTGGATGTTTCGATACCTCAACAATTTTGCCAATCCTAATGTCTAATCTACTGGGAATAATTTCATCGTTTGCCGCAGTTTGGTTAGCTGGACCCTCTGAAAATTTAGTTGCAGTTTAGTCAAACAGTGCATTAATGCTGTTGTTTTTACATACTAGTTTTTTGTGGAGTAGGATAAGCTTTTTCGGTTAATTTCTTTAGTTCCGGAGTATCAAAAGCCTTTCTAATCGGTTCTAATAGTCGATTGATGTAGACCTCAGCGCCTCCTTTTAAATCACCCGGGTGAACCTCCTCTTTAGCAAAAGCTTGTTCCAATTCTTCGTATGTGGAAAACTTTAAATCCCCACCGTATTCAGCTTTCCTCGAAATTACAAATTGTTCATCAGGCTTGAATAGAGGGAAGATGACGTGTTTCGCAAACGACAATATCCCATTATTTTCGATATTTCCAGGTTCGCAAAAGGCTTTCTTCAGTTTCTTTTTTACATTAGCAGGAGAGTCCAGTAAATCAATCTTGCTGTCATCTTCAGATGAAGACATTTTGGAACCAGTTAACCCAGGTACTAAAACAAATGGAACATGTAGAATGTTATTTGCACATAAAATATGCACTTACCCATGGGGTTCATTAAGTGAGCACGTTTTTGGTATCCCAATTGCGGCAGATACTTTTCTGCGAAAGTAAAAATCTTCCTTTGATCCACTCCTCCAAACTGCGCGTCGACTTTAAGGTACTCTTCATCCAACGCTTGTAAACCTAACAATAAAACAATAAATTCGAAGCCAATTGATTACCATTACGAACACTTACTGGGATATAAGAGACCACTAAGTAAAGGATTTTCAACTTGCTTAACAACCTCAGCTCCCGCCTTCTTAGCGTCATGCTCCGTAACAACGGAGGTCATCTTGTAAACGTCGAGAGTATACTCTTTCGTCAGCTCGTAGTCAGTTCCTTTAACGAACTTTAGCTTGTCGATGGAGACTCCGATGGATTGAAGCATGGCTTTTATGGAATGCTCGTAGTATTGAACTCTGAGCTCCAGCAACTCCCAAGGGGCTTTCATGTTGTCTAAGTAGGCGTGCAGATCTGCGAAGAGGATCGTAACTTCTGCTCCGGATCTGAGGAAGTCGGCGATTTTTGACATGGGGACGAAGTAAGCGATGTGAGGTTTACCGGTTGTTGCGGTTCCCCAATACAGTTTTATATCTCGCTCTTTCAGTATCGTTTTTATTTTGTCTTCGCCCAATATTTCTTGGAGATTCCTAGAGATGAGGTGAAATTTCTCATCCGGGGTTAGTGCACTTTTTTCCGACATATTTCTATAAATAATTAATATTTTATGTTATTAAATTGTAAATTACAAAGGTTATTTATTTAACTTACTTATGCGGTTTAAGTCTCGTGGAAACTTACTGAAAATAATTGCAATATTGAATGTTGTAAAAAAGTATTAGAATGATGAAATTTGGCAGGAAAAGTAAGGTTAGGCTACTGTCACGTCACGTCTGTCACTCGCGTAATTTTGACATGTGGATGTAAACAAGAAAAGTAAAAGTCGAAAACTAGACAAAAAAGAAGAATAACACGTAATAAATTAGGTTAGAAATTTTTGACAATTGAATAATGGTGATGTGTGATGTGTTTATAATTCGTGTCAATTGAAGAAAATAAATTAAAAATCCTAAATAAACCGTTTAAAAATGGTAAGCATCGTTATTTATTACGAATATACATTAGTTAAACATTTGTAATTTTCCAGCCACTTCGGTTAGACATTAAAAGAAAGCTAACAGCCCGTTCTGACCGGGTGAAATGCGTCGACCTCCATCCCACGGAGCCCTGGATGCTCTGCTCGCTTTACAGCGGAAACATAAACGTGTGGAATCACGAAAATCAGCAGCTCGTCAAAACATTCGAGGTATGCGATCTGCCAGTGAGAGCTGCGAAATTCGTTCCGAGGAAAAATTGGATCGTTAGTGGATCTGATGACATGCAAATAAGAGTTTTCAATTACAATACGTTGGATCGCGTGCACGCCTTCGAAGCTCATTCTGATTACGTTCGATCCATTGTGGTTCATCCTACACAGCCTTATATTTTAACCAGTAGCGGTGAGTAATGATGCAATAAATCTTAGTATTTTTAAATTTCATCATTAAGCTTGTCCAATGCTCATTTTATGTGTAAAAGGTACTCTGGGGTAACTAACAAATTTTATATACACTGGCTGGGTAGTGTACTGATAGGAGGCCATTATTAAGAAAATTTCCAGCTGTTGCTAAAAAAATTCACCCTGAGTTGTATCCCGTCCAATTGGTACCAAAAAACGAATCTAACAATATCCCTGAAGGTGGATAACTTGTGAATAAGTTGCACTAATAATAAAATTAATAGTAAATAATATACTTTAAAATTTATGTATTGCTATAAAGTAGTACATAATATCAATGCCCCTGGGACCTATCAGAAAAATCACTTTCAGAAGGACTACTGTCTCCAGAATTGCTATAATAATTTGTTCTACGTTATCGTGAAGATGTCTGCTTAAGGTTTCTCATCTTTCTATTTAAAATTGTTGATTCAATTGCAACTGAAAATAATTAAAAACCTTTAGTAAAGATTAACAATCAAAGCATATTACACGGTTATTAGTTTTAACTTCCATGAAACTTACTTGCTCAAAATTTCTTTTTGGAACCACATGGAAATGCTTCAACTAATATTAAATAAAAGTATATGAACCAATTATTTCTAAATATAAACATATAAATACCAGTATCTTTTATCTTCAATATTATTTTTGCCTTTTTTATCTTTAGATTAATTTTATTAGTTTAGCTGCAAATCATCTATTTTTTATTTATTGTCTATATTATTTATCTTTTGAATTGTGCACAAATTAATTGAAATAATGGCATTTTGAAAACTATTTTAATAACATTTTGAAATGTCTACTTGCTCGTTTTTGAACCTTCTGTATTATCCACTGATTATCAAGAGTTTAACTACAGAATGTATGAAACTAATGATACTATGTAAAAATCATTTCGTCCATTTTCAGATGACATGCTAATAAAGCTGTGGAACTGGGAGAAAGCATGGGCGTGCCAGCAAGTGTTCGAAGGCCACGTGCACTACATCATGCAGATTTCCATCAACCCCAAAGACAACAACACATTCGCCAGCGCCTCGTTGGACCGCACAATAAAAGTCTGGCAATTGGGCGCCTCCACGGCCAATTTCACGCTCGAGGGCCACGAGAAGGGCGTCAATTGCGTCGATTACTACCACGGCGGCGACAAGCCCTACCTCATATCGGGCGCCGACGACCGGCTGGTCAAAATCTGGGACTACCAGAACAAAACGTGCGTTCAAACGTTGGAAGGGCACGGCCAGAACGTCACCGCCGTTTGTTTCCATCCGGAATTGCCGATCGCCCTCACCGGCAGCGAAGACGGCACGGTCAGAGTGTGGCACGCCAACACGCACCGATTGGAGAGCAGTTTGAACTACGGCTTCGAACGGGTGTGGGCCATTTTCTGCCTGAAAGGCTCCAATAACGTGGCGCTCGGCTACGACGAAGGTAGCATCCTCGTTAAGGTCGGTAGAGAAGAACCCGCCGTTAGCATGGACGCCAGCGGCGGCAAAATCATCTGGGCTAGGCATTCGGAGTTGCAGCAGGCCAATCTGAAAGCCTTACCCGAAGGTAATATCAATGTCTCACTGTTAGAAAATCTCTTTAAAAGACCACCGAATTTCGCTTAAATGTACTTAATCAGTTGCTTCAAAACTGCGTTAGAAATCACTACTGTTGTTCAGCACTTTTTGTACTCGTAGATTACCGTAAGTTCTTTTGCAGGGGCCGAAATAAGAGACGGCGAGCGTTTGCCGGTGTCCGTCAAAGACATGGGCGCCTGCGACATTTACCCTCAGACCATTCAGCACAATCCCAACGGGCGTTTCGTGGTGGTTTGCGGCGACGGGGAGTACATCATTTACACGGCCATGGCGCTCAGGAACAAGGCGTTCGGTAGCGCGCAAGAGTTCGTTTGGGCGCAGGATTCCAGCGAGTACGCCATCAGAGAGTCGGGATCCACCATCAGAATATTCAAGAACTTCAAGGAGAAGAAGAATTTCAAATCGGACTTTGGAGCCGAAGGTATGGTGTTATCGAAGTCGATGAAAATATGCTGAGAACAGTTAAAAAATGTTTACTGAAATATTGTAGGCATCTACGGTGGTTATCTGTTGGGCGTGAAGTCTGTATCCGGATTGGCGTTCTACGATTGGGAAACTCTGGATTTGGTTAGAAGGATCGAAATACAACCTCGCTCGATATACTGGTCTGATAGCGGTAAACTGGTTTGTTTGGCCACCGAGGACAGTTATTTCATCCTATCTTACGATGTCGAAGAAGTTCAAAAAGCAAGGGATAACAACCAGGTAATTTGTATTAATTATACACGTGCAATTTGTATTAATTATAATTTGTAGGTGGCTGATGATGGAGTGGAATCCGCGTTCAATCTCCTAGGCGAAGTGAACGAATCCGTTCGAACGGGTCTTTGGGTAGGAGATTGCTTCATTTACACGAACGCTGTAAACCGCATCAACTACTTCGTCGGAGGTGAATTGGTGACCATCGCGCATCTCGATGGGCCGTTGTACGTGCTGGGCTACGTTCCCAAAGACGATAGACTCTATTTAGTCGACAAAGAATTGAGAGTGGTCAGCTATCAGTTGCTCCTTTCGGTCTTGGAGTACCAAACAGCCGTAATGAGAAGAGATTTCTCGACGGCCGACAGAGTGTTGCCTTCGATTCCCAAGGAGCACAGAACGAGAGTGGCGCATTTCCTGGAGAAGCAAGGTTTCAAACAGCAGGCTCTTGCCGTGAGCACCGATCCTGAACACAGGTTCGAGCTGGCCGTCGCTTTGGAGGATTTAAATACCGCCAAGATGCTGGCCCAGGAGGCCAACAATCCGCAGAAATGGAGCCAGCTGGCCGATTTGGCGGCGTCCACGAATAACCTCGTATTGGCCAAGGAGTGCATGCAGAAAGCCCAAGATTACGGCGGTCTATTACTCTTAGCTACCAGTTCTGGAGACGACGAGGTAGTGAGGACGTTAGGCGAAGCCACCGAGGCCGAGGGCAAGCATAACTTGGCGTTTTTATCGCACTTATTAGTCGGGGATTTGAACAAATGTTTGGATATTTTGATAAGCACCGGTAGGCTCCCCGAAGCTGCGTTTTTCGCACGGTCGTATCTGCCCGATAAAATATCCGAAGTGGTGGAACTTTGGAGGGCGCAGTTGTCGATTACCAATCAGAAAGCCGGTCAAAGTTTGGCGGATCCTAAAGACTACGATAATCTGTTTCCTGGTCTCCAGGAAGCCATTGTGGCGCAGAAATATTTGGAACAGAACAACTCCGGATTCATACCGGCCGCTGCAGCTGCCACGGTTACTCCGAATCACGAAAGAAACGTAATAGCTGAAGTGGAGGCGAAGGTAAAAGGTGGAGCTGGTGTGATGCCGAGCACTTCGCATCCTTCGGTTACGTAAGTTCGGTTCAAACTTTATTTTGTAGCAAAGTTTTGTGACAAATTAATTTGCAGGTTGCCGAGTGAACAGATGGAGAAACTCTCGATTACTCAAGATGATGACGATTTGGATTTGGACCTTGATGGAGTGAACATTGATGAAAATATAGATACAACGGTAAGATTTACTATAATGGGGGTTTTATTTTAGATTTTAGGGCTTTTCAAGTTAGTTAAAAAATTGGTAAAGGTTATTTCTTCTTTTATTCCGAATTATGTGTTAACATTGTTGTAACAATTTATTCTCTTTTTCAGGATATCAATATAGATGATGACTTGTTAAGTGATTGAATATAATTTTATTTCCATACTTAGTATTATGTGTATATTGTTCATTCCTATTTTAAGAAGAAAAAAAAACCATCTTTAATATTAAAATTGTTTATTTATCTAGTTTAAAAAAGTGTATGAAACAATTATCCTAAAATAGCAGCAATTATATTTAAAATGATTTATGAAACGACGGAGAATTAAATGAATTACAAGTGGTACCAATACGACTCTTCTCTAGCGAATTAGTTGATAAATCGGTGTAAATAATCGGATAGTATTGAATTCTTCCACTAGACCAGCCTACTGATAAACAAGCTCCGGCTTCAAAATCTAACAAGAAGCTTATCGTACTGGGTTTTTCATCTACAAGTCTCGTTATCAACGAGCTAAAAACATAAAAAAATGTATATAGCGTAAATATTGAAGAAAACACGAGTATCTTACTTGGCAATTAGCTGCAATTCGTGCTGTCTAACGATATTAAACACCGCAATGCAATCGGTGTCCTGAAATATGACGGCTAAATGTTTTCCTTTGGGATCGCTCTCCATGCATTGCACCAGCCCGCCGACTGTAACTCCATCGATATCGACTTTGGACGTATCGAACATGGGCAACGCTTGATTGGAGGAACTGTCCGAATCGGAGCGGAACACCAAATCGTTTTTGACAGTAACTCCGTATATAATCGGCTCGGCGTTCGTGGCAAAAAGCAACGTTGTGCCGCAATTCGACCAGCTGGCCGATTGAATGCGACCGTTCGGTATCGTCCATCTCTCGCACTCCCAGTTCCGGCAATCCCAAACTCTAAAAAATGGTAAATAAACTTTGATTGTTGATACTTATTACCTTCAAATCATTCTATTAGACTTATAAGGGGAGTGTTGATTGAGGTGTGTTCAAGTACTTACCTAAATACCAAACTATTTGAGCAAGAAAATAACTTTTCCCCGGTCGGTGACCACCTAACTAGAACGTTTCCCGATCCACCGGATCTCTTAAGGACGCTGGTTTTATCGAGTTCGACATCCCACACGTAAATGGTGTTATCGCAGGCAGCGACGCTTACTAATTTATCGCCTTTGGGAGACCAAGCTATGCTCATGACTGGTTTGTGATCGTTTCTTTGCAACACAATTGCGTTACTAATCGATGGTCTTGCTACCTAAAAAATTAGGCAAAAAACAGGTTGAGAAATCATCGTAAATGCTTAATAACATACCAAAGAGTTTGGATCGATATTCCAAACGATAATACCGTTTTCGTGTCCAACGGCGATCTCCGTATTTGACATCGGCCTCCAAGCTACACAGGTAATATGCTTCTGTTGCTTGCATCTCAAGAGAGGCGTTATTACATTTAAGTCTCCGTTAAAAATCCTTACACTATCGTCACAAGTGACTACAGCCACCTTTGTGCAGTACGGATGCCAAGCAATGCATCTAATTGTAGAATTCAGCCAGTTTCTCGATTGCGAATAGTTGTTTATTAAACTGGGGCCGCTGTATCTCAAATTCGGGTTTATTAGCAACCTAGCTTTGTTCACGTACTTTATTAAGCCTAATGTTATTTTAGCGGATTCGGAAATAAGGAAATGATGGTGAGTTGCAGCTGTATGCAGAGCTTCGACGAAACCTTGCTCGTAATAAACTTGTGTTAATTGTTTGAGAAAGGAGACGTCGACCGGTAAGAATAATGCTCTACCCTCGTCACCTGAGCTTATGGGATGAAGTTGATCACTAGTAATGTGGATTTTTGGGTGATGGTCTAACTAAAATAAACGATTGTCGGTCATCAAGTATGTTAAGAGTAGAAAAATACTTACTGTATTAGTGAAGGCGCTCAAATTTGTAACGTCGTAATTTCTTGAAAATACTCGGCCGTTTATTTGGCATAATGATATTTCTCCATCAACAGGTAGCTGAAATTCTTGTAGATTTCTCATGTTGAATAAACGGTTCAATTATCTATTTGAATGAAATAAGAAATGTCAAATTCAAAATCGAGGTAATTTTCTTCTTCTTTTTGTAAATTTTTTATTCGATTCTGAAATGGAAATCGAAAAATAATCGATTCGTAACATTGCAATCGGCAACCAACATTACATTACAGATATTTGTTGATTTATGATTATCATTGGTTTTTATAAATCTTGATTTAATTTTTTATAAAAAATGTCATTCTAAAGATTCATTAAATACTTTTGAAGTCATTGAAAGAAAAATGTTTTCATTTGTTACTTTAAGGAGGCTATAACTTGTTTAGTATGGCATTTTCAATGTAGGTCCAATCGATTTAATTTTCATTCCAGAATATTTGGTATAATTTGATGTTTGTTATCCTGTATATTAGGCCTTGAAGAATTAAAATATCTATCACACATAAAAATGTTTTTATTCGAAAACTAATAAAACACAACGGAAATCCTTTCCAAAAAATTTGTAGTCAACATTCGATAAATAGAAAATTTAATTCTACGTACGTTATCTAAAGATTAAATAACAGTTTAAGCTTTAAAATCATCAAAGTAATGGTAAGATTAATTCAAAAACAGCGCAAAACGATAAGAGAAATTAATCTTCCTATAAAAGAACCAATTACAGTAACAATATGGGACAGAAGTCAGTAAAAAAGAGCGAAACTTGTAAAACTTACGCATCTGTAAAAGTATATTTCTATTTATTGAATGTCGGTAAAATACGATTAGCGATTCGTGGCTATTTGCATTTTCATGTGGTTACACCATTGCTTAACCATCTTCACCTTAAAAAATGACAGTACAATAAAATGTAACGATACAAACTCGTATAAAAAGTAGAAATACATATACAGAGGTATAATGAAGCATTAACACGAAAATTTTTGCTAATCGTATCACAAATCTTTCCAAAACCGTAAATATCTAATTAACAAAAAACAAGAAAAAAGGAAACAAAATAAAGGAAGAAAAAACCAACACATCTTTGGTTAATAAATTATTAAAGCCTAAGATGAAGTCTATGGGGAGTAGAAATTCAGTACAAGCCACCCGTAGAAACTACTTGATTCTGATACCTGAGAATAATATTCCAGACAGAGTTCTCTTGTTTCTTTTTACATACTTAAATAAACTTAAATAAAATGTTACATAGCATAGGTTGATCGTGTATACTTGGCGCGTTTGGAAGACGGAGTAATAAAAATGTCAGGCGGTTCCAAAATATCCCTACCCCAGTACGGCAAAATCCTGTACAATGATCGATTCGATCGATCGAAATTTCGCACATCGCCTACCATTACTCAAAACCATTCACAGAGTATCAACTTTTAGGCAGGCCAATGGGGAGTAAGTGATACCGGCGGCTCGATAACACCCCGGGTGGACTTCGGGTGATTAATGTGTTTATTACTCCGTCTTCCAAACGCACCAAGTATAGAAACTCAGTCGGTTAAAACAATGATTATTCATAATTGCGCAAAATGATTAACAAAGTAAATTTTTATGTTTAAGTTTTAAAAACTAACTTAGTTACTAATAACACAAATTTTAAAGTTCTTATATGTCCAAAAAACGCCATTTTTAATTATAATAAGTTATATTTTCTGTTATACTTTTCTCCTTTTGGACGCACATCCAATAAATAGACACACTCAACTACTTATCAAATTTCCTTTCTGTATCATTTACCAAAAGGCATAAATATCATTGAAAATTAACTATAAAAACATTTTAACAAAAGAAATTTCAAATAATTAATGGCCAGTGGCGTTTCAACTAATATGCAAAACATTTTTGAGTATGTGTATGTTAAATAGTTCCAAATAAATAGTAAAAAACCGGTACCTACAGATCCACACACATATGTTCAATTCACTCGTTTACTTTCAGTGCAATTTAGTTTGTCCAATAAGAGAACGCAATTATAGTAGAAAAATACTTATAGGTAAAATACTTTTATACTTTAACATTACATTATTAGCCAACATCATATCACAGACGGCTCGTTAAAAACTCATTCACAATCACATAATACTGATATTACTGGTAATTCTTCCTGATCGAACATCATCTAAACATAAACTTTTCACAATTCTAAATCCTGTAAAAAAGTAACAGTAAGTGAACAATGCGGAAAAATGCGAAAGTAATTCCTTTTCTCGTCAATCATTTTTAAAAACAACGACTCCCTAAAAGTATGTCTAATTCGTAAATGGCCAAATAAATTAATCAACTTACTTTGTCATATGTAGAGTTTAAGAGTAGCCAATTTGATCTGCTTCGTTTTTTAAAATAATAGTAACCCCAGATCGATAATCCTGTTGCTATTAGAATTAACAACGGGCATGTGATACCTAAAAAAAATACATTTTGCCTAAATATTGAACATTGAGAAGAAAAAAATATATTACCTAATATTAATCCAGTATTGCTCTTCTGTTTTACGGGTTTAGCCAGCGGTAATTCGTAATTCTCTAACAGTTTACAAGCCTGCGGTATTTCATAAGTCCATTTCCTAAGGCACGTTTCAACCTGAAATTAATTTTCATTACTTTCTCGCTGACCATTCCTAATAATAATTTTACTAATGATTACCTCTGTGTAATTTTGGAAAGGGCTTTTTTTGCATTTCAAAATCACTTTAACATCCAACTTGCCGGCGCTACCTGGAAATTTATTTAGTTTATTAGTTTATCTATGAAAAATGAAATTTGTAATTAGTACCGTTTTCTGGATAGCAACTTTCTAATTGATTGTAAACTAGCACAATAGATTTATTTTTGGGCTCAAAATTTACATTAGGACATTTAGACGATGAGACCTAAAAACACATTTTTAATAAACATACAATTCTTACTAATAGAATTTTATAGCTTACATTAAAATCGAGTTGGCTAACGTTGAACACATAGCCGGTATATTTGTTATTAATTGTACAATTATTATTCAACGGAGTTTCATTATGGGCAGTAGAGTTAACTTTATAGTGAACATAATCAGAACCCTGCACTTCTACTGGCACAAATTCCTCCTGAAACGCGGTTAAGAAAATTATGTATTGTTAATAATCGTGGTTAATAAACAATAATAGTACCTTATCCAAACAAACTCGATTTGTCTTCAGTTGTATGTTCAACGTACAATTTTCTATACCTATCACATCAAAATGTTCCTCTTGCATTATTCTATCGCAAGCCATTTGGATTATCGTTTTGTTAAACGAGTCCACCTTATCGCATTTTTTATCGAATGAAAGTTCGAAATAAGTTTTTTTGTTGTGAACAAGTAACGCCTTGTCGAGGGGAACGTAGATGCATTCTAAAAAATCGTTTTCATCATTCATACTGGAGCTTAAACAGTATACAGGGTGAGTCTTTAGAGGTTTAGGACATACAGGGTGTCCCAATAGTGCGGTAAAGCCCATTTACTCAGTTATTATAATAGATACGAAAAAATGATAAATAGGAAAAATGTTAAGCACCTTTAGGCGCACAATTTAAAATTATTTCGAAATATACAGGGTGGCCCATAAATCGAAGCCATACCAAACATACCTTTTTTTAAAGGCAATGATATATTTTTTATTTCATATTCGATTTCAGCTCGTATTCACGAGTTTCTCAATATAAGATTTCATATGAATATACTGGGTATTTAAAAAGTTATGGCCATTTTTATGTTCAAATCGACATGATTTCAAGGCCCTGTATATCAGAATCTGTATCAGATAATGTGAATTTTTCTGTATCAGCACTTTTTGAAAATGGTCTATTTTCACAAAAATTAGGTATATTTTGACAAAATTGCAATTTGTATACAGGGTGAGTCAAAATGCAAACATAATAATTACTCGCTTAATTTAAATGGAACACCCAATATTAATAATATCCATTGGAAAGTCTATTTCTTACTGAATCTTTTTTCACAACATTTCCCTATACCTAATTGTCACCGTTTCTGAGATATTTTTAGTTTTATTAAAAAATGTCCAGTTTTTGATGTTATAATTTCATTTTGATCTAATTACCAATGATGTTGTCGACCTTTTTTTGCAAAATAATAGTAGAAAATGTAATATCGATTAATTAACGATCATTAACTACCCGAAATATTTGGTAATTTTTAAATTAAACTTTAAATTATTATAATTTTAATTTAATCTAGTTACCTCTATGACGTCATCATCTACGAACTATGCGAATTTTACTTATTGAACTCGTGTCACTTTAAATTATAGAATAACTAAAAATTTAGGGTACCTGCTAATGATATTTGATTAATCATTATTCGATATTTAATTTTCTACTATTATTTGGCAAAAAAAGTTCGAAGACGTCATTGGTAATTAGATTAAATTGAAATTATAATATCAAAAACTGGAAATTTTTTATCTGATACAGATTCTGATATACAGGGCCTTGAAATCATGTCGATTTGAACATAAAAATGGCCATAACTTTTTAAATACTCAGTATAGTCATATAAAATTTTATATTGAGAAACTCGTGAATACGAGCTGAAATCGAATATGAAATAAAAAATATATCATTGCCTTTAAAAAAAGGTATGTTTGGTATGGCTTCGATTTATGGGCCACCCTGTATATTTCGAAATAATTTTAAATTGTGCGCCCAAAGGTGCTTAACATTTTTCCTATTTACCATTTTTTCGTATCTATTATAATAACTGAGTAAACGGGCTTTACCGCACTATTGGGACACCCTGTATATTGATATAAATATTTCTTCTTAAAATCATCCAAATATTCACATCCTGAAGTATCGGCACTCAATTAATTAACACCCTGTATATACATATTTATCCCGAAGGAATTCTAAAAATTCCTTTCCGTTTGCCTACAATACTTCGTCCCTTTGAGCGCGACTCACCCTGTATATAGTGCGAATAAATAATATACAATTAACTCACCGTTAGGTAAACATTGTGATTTGTCATCGCCGCACAAATCGAATAGGTAGGTTTTTCCCAGGTTTACTTTGAACGATTTTTTGTTGAATGATGAAAAGTTTAGTCTGAAAATTAGCAATTTAAATATTGATACTTTTAGAGGATGTTTTACTTACGAAATCTCATTAAATAAGGGATGGCTGAACAGACAATTATTGTTGACATTTACACAAGCGCGTTTCGATTGCCATAAGAACTCTGGACTGCACAATGAGGTAGCATTTAAGATATCCAATTTGTCCTAAAAAAATAGAGTATGTTATTATCTGTTAATTGCAAATTTAATGCTGTTATACTAACCTCTCCTTGAGTACATTGAAAAATTATTTTGCTTTTATAATGCATATTGTTTTGATCGCAATAATCGCCTCCACCAGTCTCGATAATTAATCTGTTGTTTTCTGTGTACATCTTCGACATTTCGCCAAATGATTTTATCCTATAAAAAAAGAAGTTAAAGAAGTATTTACAAGGTGAAAAGAGTATTTGCAACGGTAGAGAATGCCACAAAAACTCTACGACAAAAATTACTTCTTTCTAATATCAAACTCGTCCAAATATTTCACAAACATCATGGAATTTTTCATGCAAGGTGCTTCATCATCCCTGACTATCCCGCAAACGTTCAGATGATATTCAGCGTTATCGTGTTTAATGACGCGTCCTTGAGGTGTTTTTAATTCGCTTAATTTATAAGATTGAGTGTAATTGTATTTATCACAATAGGAGACTTCTGCATGCGTATTCAGACAGGATTCACCGTACTGTAATTAATTACATTTTAAATCTACTCCGATTGAAAAGCATTCCGATGAATGTAACAGAAACTTACGGGTCGTGGGCATGCTGCTGGAGTATTCCATAGTAATTGCATCTCGCAATTTTCATCTTTCAAATACTTAGGCTTTTCTTCGAATTTGGAACAACGGAAATTAATAGTAGTTTTATATGTACCATTTCCACACTTTGAACCACCTTTAAAAAACATATAATTAGTAACTATAAAATTATTATCATCTAACTCACTTGTTAAAGACATTTCAATGCTATCTTTATGAAGAACAGGCTCCGTATAAATGCTTCCTCTGTTAACGAACGTGCTACCAATTTTTTCGCATACTTGCGAAGAAGATCCTAAAACGCAGCAATGTTCTCATACAACCCAATTTTCTATTCCATTTTTACTTACTTGTACAATTATCCGCAACACTGCCTGGTAGTTTTAGCGGTCCGCAGATATTCAAAAATATTTGACTAGAATTTGGTACATTATCTACTTCGATGTAACCAGTTTCGTTATAAATCGTACTCAGGTTAAATTGGTAGTGTTCTTGGTACAGCTAAAATAAATACGATCAAATACATTAATTAATTATGGGTGATAATTAAAATCGCGTACTTGACAACTCGTAGGTAGTTTAACACAACCGTAGGTCGATTCCATTTCGAATTTGTATTTACTCCCCTGTGTTTCCGGTTTAATGTACCGAAAATTGGACACTTTGGAAATCCAATTGCATTTTATGTGTATATCAATGATAACATCTCTCGTACCAACTATAAATTAACATTGTATGCAGTGTGTCCCTAATAGATGGAGTTGACGAGAGGAAAAAATGGCCATTTTTAATTTTACAAAGGAACATGAATCTTTTAAGAAAGTCTCATGTAAAGGGTTTTAATAAATTAGGAAAACTGTGGAAAAAAATTCAAAAAACCATTTGTTTCCTGTCGTCAATTTTATCCAGGTACCGTATGTGGAGATTTTTAATTAAAACGTATACATATTAATTCATTTTAGTTTGCAATATAGATTATATAAGCTATAAAGACGACTATAATTAGACACTAATAAAGCAAACAGGAAAGAGTAATATTGTGTCAACTGAAATGAACCAAGGTGTATAAGCACTTACACTTGGACTTTTCATGCAATTTCATTTCATTTTCAGCGTTTTCATAGGTAACCAACGTGTGTCCTGCCGAGAGCTCAGTGAAACCACTTTTGTTGATAATGCAGCTCGACGCTTTATTGTCGCAATCGGGATTCAGTCCACAAAGAAATATGCTGAAATTCGCCGTAGTAGAATTCACCAGGTATCGGCCTTTCAAAGAGGAAAAATCCCATAAGCGAGCATTGAGGACCACGCTACAAGGACGACGGCAATCGTTGGATAGGGATATCAGAGTTACTTCGTACACGCTATCATCGATATTATTTAATAGAGGTTCCTTCTGAAAATATTAGATTATTAAAATTTAGAACATATTTTAATTGGGTATACGATAATATCGTGGAAGTATATTTAATATAGGAGCTATACCAGTCAGTGGAGCTCGCTCAGTTAGAACTACAATCACTAAAATCCATTGTAAATTGCAATATGTTGTTGAATAAAAGCACTTTGTAAATACTATGAATTAGATTAGATATTTACGATTGTTTATTTAATGAGTCAAATCAAGTAATGTGTATTTTAGGTATTTTTTAAGCACTGGTGAGAGATTAGCTGACTAAGAAGAAACAATTTTTGCTGGATATTCATTTTCAATAGGCTCTCATTTGGAGATTGCAAAGGAATTTTATCTTCTTATAATGTAATTTTGTCATGTAACCACTTTTGGAAATGAAAAATGTTCATGTTTTTTTTTTTAATTAATGCTGACACTGAAAGTACTAAAGAGATTTACGATAAGTATCATAAAATTTATGTGCCCTCATATTTGACTATGATGTAGATTTCTAGGAAGCCAAATTAGTCACACCTTACATAAATAATTGTAATTACCTGGATCAAACAATCCCATTTTACTATTAATGTCCGGTTTGGTGCAGTAACATTGGCATCAGGATTTATGAGGATAACACTGTTGGCGTCTCCTTTTCCTTAAATATAAGAATTATACATTACATAAAAGTTATTTTTATTTTATTTTATTAGTATGTCCAGTAAGCACTGAAAAATTATACTCACGGGATGCGAATTTTCCATCGAAGTAAGTCGTTACACCATTACTTCTTATGCAAGCTGTGTGACCTTTGCAATTGATGAAATTATCGCTCACCGGTGCACATAAATTGAATATTATCTCATCAGTAGAATTAACTATTTTCCAATCTTTGCTACAATGATAAAACGTTTAATTTTTAGAATTTCAACAGGTTAAATTTATGTCTTCGTAGACCAATTTGTGCTTACTTAAGAACTGTATTGCTTTTACTTTTGGCTAACACTACATCGCAAGTCGGCAAGAGACTGTCCAAAACGAAGGCGCCGTGGGATGATATAACTAAGCAGTTGATAATTATCATAAAACAAATCATGGTTACAAATTGGTTGGTCTGTTTCAATACAAATAACGAATGTTTTGAATGGGAAAGCTCACAAAACTCCGATCCACTTTTACTCGGTTCACAACCTCATTTGATCTTGTGTAACTTGTGTTATTGACTACATACCAACTTGAACACATCTACTGAAAGAAATTAACATGCCGCAGAATTATAACCTACTCAAAATGTCGGTAGATCCCCGGTGACGTAGTAATTAATACGCTTGCGCTGTAATGGTGGGTACGAATGTTTTCCGGTTCAGTTACCTTTTCTGATTTTTTTCAATCAACTTACATCACAGGGCAACAATTTAATTAATTATTTAGTTTTTTTATTCAATTTATAAGGTTTCATTGAGAATTAAGATTGCTCTAACCAAATTTTTTATTTTTTTTAGGATTTGTTGTAGGATTTTATCTGTCATTTATTCGATAGTTCGAATGACTCGGATAATCGATACGCAATTAATCGAATTTATGTCAAATTTCTTCTTTTTTAAATTTAATTAACAAACGCATCTGTCATGTAACTATTTGTCTTGTTTTGTCATTGTCAATTCTGTCAATGTCAATCTTGTCATTTCGGATTTCGGCTCTAAGCCGTCGCCGTCATTTCTACGCTAACTTTTATTCACAATTCTTCGAAAAGACAAGTGATACGTGTTAGTCCGGAAAAGCCTATTTGTTGTCCAATTAAGTTAAAATCCTCGTAAGTAAACGAATCCCCAACATTATCTATTTTTAACCCATTGGTTTCCTCGAAGGAATAATTTCAGCTAGATAATGATGGCGGAGTCGGATGCAACGGTCGAAGCGACCAGAAGATTAAATGTAAAAAAACAAACTCTAGACGACGCTTATGCGGCGCCCGCTAATTTTTTAGAGATCGATGTCGTTAATCCTGTTACTACCATTGGAGTCGGTAAAAAGAGATTCACAGATTATGAAGTTAAAATGAGAGTAAGTATACTCCCCTTTTTTTGATAAGGTTTCATTGATTAATATGAAGTAATGTTGTTTCGTTTAACGATTTAACGACTTTTTTTGATGAAGTAAAACAAAATATGAGATTACTTAAAAAAATTTTGTAAATAAGAGGGCCGAAAAATGCAGGATTTTTAATACAAACTGCTGCAAGAAGGCTGATGGCCCTTCGAGGTTTTTACAGAACTTGCAAGTTTTGATATTTTAATTTAATTGAAATCACTTTGCCGGATCCTGTATTTAATAGCCATACTTTTGTGATGAAGTCATATTTTACACATTCTGCAACTTACATTATTTTCTTATCGACCCGTATATTTACTAATTAACGAACTTTCTGAATTATTTTTACCGTTGAATCATCTAAGAATGTTTATGTAATTATTTTAGACAAATTTACCTGTGTTTAAAGTTAAGGAATCGAGTGTTAGGAGGCGATACAGCGACTTTGAATGGCTAAGAAACGAATTGGAAAGGGATAGCAAAATTGTGGTGCCGCCATTGCCTGGAAAAGCCTGGAAAAGGCAGTTGCCATTCAGAAACGATGATGGCATATTCGAGGAAGATTTTATCGAAGACAGAAGGAAAGGTTTAGAAGTATTTATTAATAAGTACGTGGTTGGTTTAGTATTGCTTTCGTTTTTGATATAAAATGTTGTGTTGTTTTAGAATTGCTGGACATCCTTTGGCTCAAAACGAAAGATGTTTGCATATGTTTTTACAAGAGCCTCAAATCGACAGAAACTACGTGCCCGGAAAAATTCGCAATACATAAGTAATAAACGCCTAGCTATGTTATTCCATCCTTTTCGTTTATTTTTTAATCTGTGTGCATTACGTTTCATAGATGTTAGGTTTTGAATATATTTGTATATTTTTCTAAGTAAGACTATTACTAGGTTTTTGATGGTTAAATGTATAGTTTGTTTAGCTTACATTTTTTACTTACTAATAGTTTTAAAGATTATTGATATTCAGTAGATATTACATATGAACACTGATTGTCTTAAGTAAAAAATGATACGTTAAATGATGAGTCTGTTAAGAACACTATTATGAACTGAATTTATTCAGGTGTAAAAAAAACACTTGGGAAATTGATTATTCCATGCTTTAATTTTTTTTGTATAAAAAAATCGGTACTATTATTGTATTTATAGTTATATAGTTGTATTTAATCAAATACATTTATTTCTAATAAATCTGTTTGGTCCACTACTGAGTCGTCTTGGCGCCAGCTCTTTTGTCCTTTTAAGGCAATTATTTCTTGCCAAGTTTTCTTTAGAGTTCTAGAAAATGTAACAAACGTTATTGTTAAATACCATTAGAATATGTTAAAAGTGCAGGGTACTGAAAATGCATTAGATAACTCTAATGTTAAGAATTGCATTTTGTACCTAATGAAATTATATAAAGACTTGTTAAACAGACGATCTAAAGCAGTAAAATCGGAAATTATTGCTATGCAATTACAAAAATTTAAACAGAATTCACTAGAGAGCTTCAGCTTTCGTTTCGGATTTTACTCTGATGTAGTGAGATCAGATTGTATTTTACAAATAAAAAATTCATTATTATCTCTTATTTATGAAAAGTATAGATCGTGTGTGATTGACTTCACACAACTCTTTGCTCTATAGGAATATGTACTTTTCTATCACTTAGTAGAATAAGTATAAGAAGAAGAATAACAGTAGCTACATATTTCTTCACAGTTTGGTAAAAAAATCAAATTGTTGTTGGTTTCCTATTAAATTTCTGTAAAGAAACACTAGCCACCTATGTTGAAATTACATCGCTTCAATCTGAAGATCCACGGTATTTGGAAAAATATTTATTAATATGTCCACACAAGGTAAGACTATGATTGTCATGAATTGCACTTGGTCTTCGGGAACCATTTGCGATTTGTCCCGATCCATCAGGGAGAGCGGCGTTAACCCCATTCTCTTCTCTAAATCGCCTTGATGGTAGAATTCCTCTAAAACAATAACCCGATAAAAGGTTTCTACCATCTCGTACAATACTAAATCAATACCGACTTACTCAATATATTCTCGCAAATCGTTTTAGCGACAATAAAAGGCTTGCAGTTACCCGACAAATCGGACGCGGTCATCGAGATGGCCTTTATTAGCGTTCGATGCCGCTGATTCGCGGTGTTCAGCAAGTTTTCGGTGATAAGTTGAAGCAACTTCACTCTAAACTTGAAGTAGCTCGCCAAGTCCGTGGACAGGATCGCTTCTTGTAATTCCTTGGCCATTATTTTGTGATCGTCGGCGGTCATATTGTTAAAAATCGGTATTGCCTGAATGCACGGAGAACTAATTAATCCCCTAAATTAGTAGAGGAGATGAGGAATATAAAATATCACTTAAACCAATATTATATAAGCCAATAGTTTGTCATTTTCTGCAATTATTTTGGCGAGTAATTTGGACATTATGTATCCTGTCCAATTTAAAATATCTTTACTAGGCTTTAAACATTTTAGACACTAGGCTTTAAACTTAACTTAACTCCCGCAAGATGCATTAAAGACAGTGTTCCAAATGTATACATCTTAAGGAGTTGAATGAATAAGGAAAGAACTTACATTTAATATGGTCATGGCCACGTAATAATGATGATTTTCTAAAATAGAATCCTCGTACAATTGGGCCAACGTATCGTCAGTTAGTTGAAGGAAATTATTGGTGAAGCCTCCGTGGTCCAAGTCATGGCACAAAGCGGCAATCAAAAGTGATTTTATCTAACAACAAATTGTTTTGCAATAAATTGGTGAATTTTCGAGATTATAGAATGAACCAAAATAGTACAGAATGAAGCAATTAGAAGAGGAGAGAATTCACCTCAATTTCCGTAAAGTCGTCTCTATTTCTCGTTAATATATTATACATGCAGTGCATTACGTTGAAAGCGTGCTCGAAGTTGTGATAATAATTGTTGCGATAGCACTTTTTCACGGTAAGGATGAATTCCATTAAATTTTTTTGGTGAACGTCCTCCTTGGGTATCAAGTCGGTAAACATGTACAAAACCAACTGAGGCATCAACGGGTAATCGTCCGCTGAAATGTACCATCGGAATCTATGAAAAAAAATATTATTTTATTTACAACATAATTATAATATACTTGTACTTACTCCAAAAAATTATAAGGGAGCGTAACTTGCGCATTAGCCATAAATGTTTCCATGTCGTGCACGCAGGGCTTCATCTGCAGCTTCAGAAGCTTCAAGTTCGAGTCGTTTATTTTTTCCTGAAACAACCGAGTTGTAAAATCTACACGTCAATTCGCCAATCAATATTTTACCGTTCGAGACATTTTTTGATGCAGCCTCGTATAGTGCAGCGCCAACGCGCAGTATACCGAAAACGTTTTGAACAAGTCCTCATCGGACGGGGTGAAGCAAACTCCGTTCATTTTATTCACCACTTGCACCACCCCTAATAAAATAAAACGAGCTTTACGCGTTTACAGCTTCAAGTACTTACCTAGCATGTTATTAACGCTAACAATAGGCATGCACAGGATTGATCGGGTTATGAATCCCGTTTTCTCTTCGACCTCCGTAAAGAACCTGGGATCTTTGTAAGCGTCCCTGATGTTTACTGTAGCGCCAGTTCTAGCTACCAAGCCCGCTATACTCCTGTCTTTAGCCAAGCGCACTTTGGCGTTCTTCCTGTGCATCGTCAGCTCGCCAACGTCCACGCCCTCTTCGAACACATCGGCTGCCAGGTCCGCGGAATCTTCGTTTATTATGAAAAAAGTGCCGCGCTCCGCGCCCAGTATCGCTTTAGCGAATTTCTAAGCGAATTCAATATTTGTAGGAACAAACTCGGTCTGTTAGGAACGAAAGCAGCTCACCACTATCTCGGTTATCATGGTCTCGATGGGCACCGTTTCGGCGAAGTAGCACTTGGTCAGGTCCAAGAGGTAGTCGTTGAGTTCCTGCTGGCGTTGCAGCGTTATCCTGACTTGGTTCTGGTGGATCGAAGCGCCCACCCAGCCGGCCAGCACTATGGAAATCTTCAAATCGTCTTTGTTGAAAGGCGTGAAGCCGACGTTTTTAAATAGTTCTATCACGGCGTAGCATTCCGCGTCGGGCGTTACGATCGGGACGCAGAGGACAGATTTGACCATGTGACCTGGAACGTTAATGGAATATGTATGGTGGAACTTGTCTATGCTGAGCTTTTGAAACTCACCTTCGAATCCCAAGCCGTGCAGGAACCTCTCGTCTCCCAATATTTCATCCACCATAATGTACTCTTTTTTAAACGCCACGTAGGCAGCGATAGTACTGCCCTTCTGGATCTTCCAATTCACCTTGTGACGGGGAGTCTGAAAGTTCTTCTGACTCTGGTAAATTTCTTCCGAAGCGTGGTCGACCATATAAAGCGTAACACCTGTAAATGTTGCATTAGCACCACTCCCATCGATCAGTCATCGTACCAGTAGCTTTGGTAGTCACTCTCAAAACCTCGGCCGTTTCGTGGAGCAGCAGCATCAGATCCACGCTGTCGGAGAGGAAGGTCGAGAGGTCCAACAGCAGGGCGTTGGGCTTGTGCTGCAGGTAGAAGTTGAACTTTTCGTATACCTGCACCTCCAGCTCCTTCTCGATGGGCGCTTTCTCGCCCTTGCGCACGATCTTCACGTAGGGCGCTATCACCCTTCTGGTCGCTTTGTCCGTCGTGTCCAGCTTCATTTCGAGCTCTGGGTTGCTGAAGAGTTTGGTGGTTCTTCGTTGCATTTTATTTACGCTGAAGGTTTTGTAACGGTTTGACTATTTCAAGTATGTCAAAATAGTATGTCGCGACAGTTGAAATATCGATATGATAAAGTGGGTTAGAGTGAGTGTTCATACTTAATAAAACAACATTTATTATTAAATATTCAAACAATATAAATAAGAAAATAAAATCAACAATGCATTCTTTGAATTAAACATGAAACAAAAGGAATCTTTAATACTGCTGAAATTGCATTTTTAAAATAACTTCAATTCGAATAAAATGAATTAAAAATCGAAATCGCTAGAAGACAACAACTGCCGTACGTAGTTGGTTTGTAATTCATCTCGGCCGGTTTGAATTCTTTTGTAATAAACAGGACAATCTAGAGATATACACTTCACTTCGTTTACTGACGATGTACAAGTCTGGCATATCTAATCGCAAAGAACAAATTAATCACTATTTATTAGAAATAATATTAAGTACTTTACTTTTATTATGTTGTGATAACTCATCTCCCACATTCTTAATTTCTCCATAAGAACGTACACAGTTTCTTGTGGTTTTGAGACGCAATTCTGGCATATACCCGTTTGAGTTTGCTCTTCGCACGAAACACAACAGGACGTAGAAAAATACTGGGAAATTGTGGTTTTCTTCTTCGGTGTTATGGAATTGGCAAAGAATTGAGTTTTCCTCCTTGGCATCTGATTGAACCTGACGAAGATAATTCGAAATGTATTCGTAATGTAACAATTCTCCTTTACAAGTCACTTACCAAGTATTAGCATCAGCTCCTATTAAACTAAAACACCGGTTAATCGGTGGAATTATTACTTTAGTAATGTAATACAGAGCGTTAGGCTTCAAGGCGGGATCTTCTAATAAATCTCTAGGGCATCGAACTAATCGAATCAAAGGTAAACCCGGCGGGCCGTTGACAATAACGTAGGGAACGCGTTCGCCACTTCTCGGTTCCTTTCGTTTATCGATAGCAGTCCAACGTCTGCAAAATTTTGCGTTAAATGAGATAATTAGAGGATTCCAAAGGGTTGTTACTTGGTTAACTCTAAAGCAGGAACACAAGCACCCGGTTTATACCCCGAGGCTCCTCGGTATTCCTTGGCGAAAGTCAGATCCTGTATGCTAACTCGACCGGCGATAATTTTACTAAACTGCTTCATAACGTATTTTTTTACAAGGCTAACATCTTTGGTTTCGAACAAAATCCTCAGGCATTTTTCTAGCATCTAAAAACCGCACAATACAATAAATTATTGTATCTAAATGCGACTAAATTAAGAACCTTACCTTACTAACCGCAGGACACCCGTCCCGTCTCACAGTTTCAATTCCCTTAGCCTCGTAAACGGGATCCTTCTGATCGGGATTCTCGTACATGTACCCCACGTAGCGCTTCTTGGTTTGCAGTATGCACGGTTGGTAGACTTTTTCGAGCTTCAATTTGATCGGATCGGGGTTGTCGTTGGTGACGGCTTCGGCTATCTTCTTGCCAATTTCGAAAGCGCGTTCTTTGGTTTGACCAGGGACGAGAACGAACAAGGAATCGGTGTCGCCGTATACAACCCTACTTCCCCATTCTGGCGTTCTCTCCACCATTTCCACTGCACGTTGCAACGTTTCTCTACCTGTAACAAAATTGAACGACGAAATAAGACACTCTTGTATTGAACTGTTAATAACGATTCATGAAATTTCAAACCTGTAAACTGAGTAAACTAGATTAAAATAATATTGTTTTAGCATCACCTTTGCTAACAACGCTGTCTCCCAGTTCCACAGCAGGCATCCTGCCGCTGAAATTAGCTGCCGTATATCCGTAGGTCACGTTCGCGATCAATTTCAATCCCAGTTGCCTGCTGTGCAGGACTTTTTGCAGGATCTTGTCGTCTTTGTTCTCTTTCATGGAGTTTTTGACCATCAGACGCGTGTCCAAAATTTCTCTCAGCATTCTCGGCATTATACCGTCTCTGACCTCTTTCTTCGCGAATCCCACTCCGCACGGTGAGAAATTCAATTGATTCCTGCAAGTTTAAACTTATAGTATAATCTTAATCAACGCGTTTCCCGTACCTCTCGATCAGCTTCTTCAATCGATTCCTCGATACCCTGAGCTCAGTGGCGCCGAACTTGAAAGCTCCCTTCTTTCCCAGACATTCCACCCTTCCCACGCACGTCGTGAAGCAGTAGTTATACGCTATGATAATCGACGGGTAGAGACTTTGGAAATCCAATACTATTACCGGATCATCGTATAATTTCGACTCGGGCTCCATGACTAGAGGAATGTATTCCGGAGCTTTCATCAGCGCCCTTTGCTGGACGTTCGGTGATACAGCTATGAAGTTCAGTGGCTTCGCCAAGCGCAACATCATGGATTCGACCCTAAATTGGCTTCCTCTGGACAGGACTTCGAAGAAGAGTATGCCGAACAATCTGCGAATGAAGTTTTTCGTGAGATTTACTTCGAAGATGTATTATTCTCGACGAGATTATTATACTAGAGATGGCAGATGCATTGCATGAGGTTTCCAAAGATATCCATCCCAAGCATACAAAAATATTAATAAATACAAAATATTTAGTGGTGCATATACCACCTCTAACTTATACCTAACGTGTACAGTACCTTGCTAATTCGCTAGTTCTTCCCAGAAAATCGAGCTTATCGAACAATTCCAAAACCGTTTCGACTCTTGTAATGTAATATTTCACTGTTTTATGCCGGTATAAGTGCGTCCTGTGGTCCCACCAGAACGACAAGCTCTTAAAAGAGTACAAGGGCACGCGTTTGTGCAAAATGTGGTAAACAACCGACTCGAACGTGTAACTTTGCAACGCTATTTCGTGCCTCATCAGTCGCCACACGTTCAGCAAAATCCTCCCCGTCAGTTTGAGCTCCCCATCATCTTCCCTCTGCTTTTGCTTCTCGTCTTTAACTCTCCCCAGCAGCGATTTGAGGTTCATGCCCAGCACGAATCCCCTTTCGATCAGATAGCCCCAGGACAAGAGCTCCGTTTCGTAGCCAGCGAAGATGTCGGGGTCCCAGTGATGGATGATTTTTAAAAATTCTTCTATTAATTTTTCTTCGGAATCCACGTAGGTAACGTCGCAATCGATGCCGACGCCGTCTAGTAGCGGTACTTTGGTGTATCCTGGACTTAGTGGGAGACTGTTGATGCATACGACTCCTCTTCTGTTTCTACCTTTGGGATTCGGTTCGGGTACATCGTGTAATACAGAGTAAAAGATTGCTCTGATGGAATCGTAGTCCGGATCGGGTTTCAAATCGGCCCTGGCGCGTACGTGCAATTCCATCACGAGCACTGTGAGGTTTTGATGCTCCAATATCGCCCTGGCGTTTTGGTAATTCTCCACCGATTTGTTTAAATAACTAGTCGATATTGTAACACCCGTTATCTCACCGGAGTTGATTAAAGAATGGTCTTGCGATGGAGTAAGCGATCGTCTAGCACTCTTGCAGAGCATCTTCTTGCGGATTTCTTTCTTTCGTTTCTTGGATTCGTTCCCCACGACAGGACTTAATGCTCCGGATGAGTTAGTTATTCTCAGGCTTGGCGAATTCTTAGGAGTACCAGGCGATAGCGTTAAAGTTAAATCCATCTCTTCGGTGTCGCTATTCGCCCCCGGACTCGCCGGTACGAGTATTTTGATTTTTTCTACTCGTTTCTGGGGCGTATTGGCGTCTTTTGCTTTAGTTCTCTCGTCGAGCCAGGCGGTTATTGTCTTCAAATCCGGCGGTTTTCGAACGGGCGTTAAAATGCAATTGTTGTTTCCACTGTAACTAAGTATTACGTTCTTCATGTTGGGCGCGGATGACTTACCATCCGACGGCAGTTCTTCTAATCTAGCTCTTCTAAAAGCTGTTAAAGCGTCAGTCTGTGATACGAAATCAGTTAAATGCGCGGTTGTTTTGCTGGTGATTTTTAGCGTGTTGAATCCAATCTCTACGCTGCCCGTAACGTCTTCGAGGTTACTGTAGAACGGCCCTTGATTGAACACGCGAGGAATGTTATGAGCATTTAATGAGTTCAAAATTTGTTGCTTTGTAGGCGGTAGATATTTTGGTGTGATTGTAATCGTGTGAGAATTATCCGAGAAACTTCCTTCTAGTGTCTTATTGCCTTGGTGTTTTGTGGTGTTAGTGATAATATTTTGTGTTGTAGGCAACTGGTAAGGTGTTAGTAAATCAGAGCTGGAGCTGCCGGAAAGTTGTTGTGAAGAGGGCGTTAAAAATTTAGAGCAACCTTCTTTGGCGTTGAAATTGGATGTTTTGTCGTATATTTCAGCAGTCGTACATTGGCGGGTTGTAATGGCCGGTTGTTCGGTATCTTCGCCTTCGGAACTGAATAATGCGCTGGAATTAGACGTGTCTTCTAAATGCAGCTCGTGTAGATTGTCTTCGGAAGTGGATTCGATCGGAGGTTTCTTCGAAATACTTTTGCTTTTAGTAGGTGTGTAGTAGCAAATCGTTTTCTCTTCTATTATTGTTGTATCGGGATGGTTGTCGAATAACTGGCGCTTAACGTTGGTATCACAGACTGACTTTTGATTTGGAGTATTTATTGGAAGCGCATCCTTTTTGCAGCTGTAAAATAAAATAAGTAGATTAATATTTTTCTAAATTGACCTATCAAGCAAATAACAAACTGTGGTACACAGAACAGATGTAGAAAGAATTGGGAAGAATGTAAACCAAAAATGCAGGTGGAACAGAAATTATGCACCTAAGTAGTTTCAAAATTACATTCTTCAATTATATCTTCTTCTGTTGTCTCTTCTTGCCTCTTGTTTCTTGCACTCCTTGTATTACAATGTAATTTATTCCAACCTAATAAAAAATCATACAACAGGCAACATGCAACATACCACATGATTAAATTGCAGTTTCTAATGTACCTTTCACCTGACAAACACCATTCGCGCTACTTTATAAATTTCAAATTTAATGATCTCTATGTACCTACTAAAACTAAAGTAAATAATGGAACAAAACCAAGTAAGAATAATGATTAAATGTGTAATTTGTGAGTTTTTAATGTTATGGGTGCTAATGAATAAGCTAAACTCAAATTGCAAGAAAAACTCACGTTTTCGCTAACGAATCTCGATCTTTGGAGGCTGAAAAAATTGAAAAAAAAACTTAAAATGGACAATCAATATAACGAATGGTTTCCCATAATAACCAAACGAAATTGATTTCTCAATCAAATGAAAGAGATTACCTTGCGGTTTGCCAGCTGCATGATGTGCTTTTGGAGATTTCTCCACAGATATAGGTAAAGGTTTGTATTTAGAATTAGTTCTAATAAATTTCCTCTTTTTGCCTGTTTCATCTTCCGATGATGAATCGCTATCGAACGTTCCATCTAAAGCAGGCATGCTTCTAAAGGATCTAATCCTTTGAGACATTTTTATGGACGCTGCAAAAGTATCAAAATCAAATTCATATAATAAACTATTTTAAATAATTATTTAGTACCTGGTTTCGGTTTTAAACATTCATTATTCCTTTTTGTTTCTTCGAGTCGGGATAGAGTAACTTTTAATTCGGGCGCTTTAATAGTTTTATTAAGATTCTCCTCATTAAACTTATAATTAATATCATCATGGCAAGCTTCCTCAATTTTGGTATCTTCGACTTTGAAAGGGCATTGGAATAAATAATTCATGTGCAAATGTAATTGCTCGTTGATAGTCTTAGCCATATCGAAAAGGAATTGTTCAGACTTTGGATTAATCGTTTCTTTTGAGTCGCAATTTTTAACATCTTCAATAAAGTGGTTACCAAATAGATTATGCTCTTCCTTTATGCCTTCAATTTCATCATTCACTTCTTCACGTTTAACAAACTTCTCCTTGGTATTTTTACATCGTTTTGTTAGTAAACGTTTTATTCTCCTTTCCATGTATTTATCCACAGTATCCTTGTTGTTCCGCTTAGATATTCTTAGTGGAATCTTAATGATTTCAGGTAATATGTTCCCTTCGTAATTATAGATGTAACGGCTATTGTTGGGGTATCTTATACTTAATACCAAAGTAGGTTCCACGTAATTGGATAATTTACTAATTATATCATGGAGAACGATTACGTTGCTCATTTGAACGATTTGTTTATATTCCAGTATAGCTAAAAAGTACATTTATATTTATTTAATGCAGCATTACAATAATATGTAGGTTGTAGCAATAATAAAACAATTATTTATATTAGTAGATAGAGAATTTACGTACGTTTTATTTTTTCTTTGGGAATTACTCTAAATTTTGGTTCGTGTCCTTTCTGCAAGAATAGCATTAATTCCTTATCCTTCTTGTGTATTTTCTTAACAATCGCTGCTAACTGATCTTCCTTCTTCATTCTGTTTATTTTTAACACAAACTTTTTTATATCCAATTCGGCCTTCTTTTTTTCTCTTTCTTTAAGTAATCTCTTACTTAACTTACTGTTTTTCGGGCTTTTCTTCTTCTGAACTGTATATTTCACTGTTTTCTTGGATTTTTTTATCTTTTTGGAAACGGCTGCTTTGGTTTCTGCTGGATATTTTAATGAACTAGTCTCTAAAGGCGCTTTGTTAAGGAACGGAGTGCAAGAAAATTCATTTATCCGAACCAGCTTAACATAGAGTGTCTTACTTAAATACTTAGTGTGTTTACTGTTAAGAGATGCACGAGTTATTACTCCTTCCTAGGAAATAAAAGCAAAATTATTAATGAAAATGCAAACAATGTGTTCAATATTTACAGCAGGTGTTTCATCACAGCTACCATCAATTTGAGGAATTAATGTTTTATTTAGCGAGTCATCGCTGTTTTCATCAATCTCCGTTTGTTCTGGACATATTTTTGTTGGTGTAGAAGGAGTATCGAAAGACATGCTAAAATCCAATTCATTATCTTCCAATTCTTTATTATCTTCATCTTCATTTTTCATTAGTTGGGTCAATATCGAGTCATCCTCTTTGCTTTCATTTGCCTGTTTCTCTTAGTAGACGAACAACAGTAATTCAGTTAAATTAAAATTCCAATCGATAAAAGAGACTTACCTAAATCATTGAGAACATGCAAAAATTCTTGAGCATTATCATCGAGCGTTACATTAAGTTTGTTCGATTCACTGTGTTGAATGGACTCATCAAAACTGCTGTTAGATGTTTGAGTTTCTATTAATGAAGCATTTAAAATTGAAGAATTGTATGGAGCTTCAGCAGGGTACACTAAAATATTTCAATGTTTAAAATATTACAACAAAAAAACAAAATATCACCTGATGTATTTAAAGTGCTCTCGACATCATTTTCACTCTCACAAAAAACCATTCTTTCCTTTAAAAGTTGTTCGTACACCAAATGTGAATTGGTCGGAGGTAAATTGGTCCTGTTTAATTCCAAAAGATGCGGGATTTGTGAATCTTGTGCCTTATTTCGCCTCCTTTGCTGTTCATCTGCCCATATTGATGCTATTCCAGGATTTGCCCCAATATTTCCAGAAGCTACTTCGTTTCTATTCAATATGTCCTCAGCTAGACAATCGGCTGGCAATAAAATAATTAATGAAAAATTCCTTCAGTGCGTTTAAACAAAATAAATACCTTCCAACTCACAAACTGATATTTTATTGATAAAAGGCGGAAGTAATAATTCAGGATCAACATCTTTGGAACCATGCCTGTACTTCAGTTTCGATAAAATTATATTACTCATGCCGTGCAAGTTAAAATCTATCATAAACTGTAAAATGAAATTCAGATGAGCTTCATGAGGTTGATATAACTTTCCCAAAGTAGATTCATTCATTACGAGAGCTGTAACTTTTCGTAGAAGTAACGGATTGTATAAATTTATTTTGAAAAACTGATGTTCTTTAGCGTGGTACCCGTACATTGGTCTGCAAAATACAATTTACATAAACTGTTTAAATAATCCGAGTAGCTAGATTCATACATTCCTTTCACAAGTGTTATCTTATATACATGCTGCATCGTAGAGGTAGCTTGATTAAGAGATATGTTAACGGATTTATCAATACTCGTTGCTATCTTGTACATTAAGCTGTTTGGATCTTGACTGCCATCGAAGGGAATATAGAAATAAGGGAAAACTCCGTGTACGTGTAGACAAACTTTTTCACCTGGAAAAATTAATTTTGTTGAGTTGTAGGAGGTGTATAGATGAATGTTGTTAACAATTACCAACTGGGTTAGATCCAAACAATCTTATTACAGGCACTTGAGTGATAGCAGTTCCCCTAAACTCTGAATAATTCTGATCAAACCCCTGAGTTGGGGAACTCATGTAATAATCCATATTAACTATTCGAAATAAGTGGTTGTTCATTTTTAGATTGAGTTAGAGAAAGATATTTAAAAATAAACAACAAATACAACAAACAAACATAAAAAATTATAACTTTGATTATTTACAATAGAATTACATGTTACATGGTATTATTTAAAATTATTTTTTAATATTTGTAAAATAAAATTAACACAATATTTTTATAAAAACAAAAATTGCATTTTAAATTTTCTTCTTTTATTTAAATATAATCTATACACCTATACACTACTTGTATTTGGTCACAAAAAGATATTATAGAAAGAAAGTTGACGTATAATTTGTCTTTAAGGATTTCTCTACATGATTTAAAACTTACCCAGATAATTTTAATTATTTAAATAAAGATTTAATTATAAATTATTTTTTTTAAATAAAATAAAATAAAAAGAAGAATTTTATTTGACATTGACAATCTTGGCATGTTGAATTTGCTTTGCGATTTTGCATTCTGTGGCATTCATTTGACGTTGACGCATGCCTTTCTTTCTTCAAAGGCTAACCGAAATTCGAATTTTAACCGTTAAACCGTTAAATGACTGCCAGTTATTCTTAGAAAATAACGTAATTCCATTAAAGTGATCGTTGTTCGTTTCGCAATGGCTCAATTCAAGTTTTGGGATGACATAAACAGTTTACTAAACATGGACGGGCCGGTAAACGGACCCGCTCCACGATGGTTGAAAAAAAAAGAAGGCGCCTCCAACTCCAACACCAGCAGTTCGAATAGTTCCTACAATTCGTCCAAGCTGAAATCGTCATCGTTGAATTCGACCAAAACGCCTAGCAAAGGAAAGAGCAAGACACCTTCGAAGACCCCTACTCCCAATAAGGCGTGTAGAACTCCGGGAGGAGATCGCTTCATACCTTCAAGAAGCGCCAGTAACCTGGACTTGGCTTATTTGAAGCTGATGCAAGACAGCACGACTAAAAGCGAAAGCAATTCGAACAAAGATGTACAAAAAGCCATTGCCGAGAACGTTTTCGGCACTGATATAACTAATCAGAAAATACTGACATATAAAAACAAAGCCCCGACGGCCCCGCAAGGGTTTCAGAATCCTATGAAGGTTCTGTACACACAAGTTAAGACGCCTGCTTCAGTGAAAGTTAACAGCAGATACATACCACAGGCTCCAGATAGAATTCTGGATGCTCCTGATATTGTAGACGATTTTTATTTAAATTTGATCGATTGGGGTTCCCATAACATCTTAGCTGCTGCTTTGGGTTCTCATGTATATTTATGGAATGCTGGTAAATATATTGACCTAATACATCTTAATATCGGAGTTTAAATTGTTTATAATTTTCCAGATACGGGTAATATAGAACAGCTTATGGAGTTGGAGGGAAATGATTACATTTGTTCACTGTCGTGGATCCAGGATGGTTTTTGCCTAGCTGTAGGCACTACTAATGGTAAGTAATATTACAGTTTGTAATGTTGACTAACTATTAATCGCAATGAATTATGTAATAACAGGCACGGTGGAGTTATGGGACTGCTCACGTTCGAAGAAATTAAGAATCATGGAAGGACACTCTGCGAGAGTTGGTTCTTTAGCATGGAATTCTTACATATTGAGCAGTGGATGTCGCAGTGGACAAATAATTCATCATGACGTGAGAAGCAGAGAACACGTCATTTCCACTCTCTCTGGACATACCCAAGAAGTTTGCGGTTTGAAATGGTCCCCCGATGGGAAGTACTTAGCTAGCGGAGGAAATGACAATGTACTGAACATTTGGCAATCGGTAAGTTTTATTATAGAGCTTATTTGAAATGATTGGTTATTGAAAATGGGGGGGATAAAATGTTTAAAAAGGCGAAAACAAATCCTGCCTGGTTAATTATAAAACAAAATATTTTAAAAAAGCATTTATATTACATTGTAAACATAAAAATATATTTCAATTTCGTTGAGTAATTGAAGAAATTTGCATTAAGTAGGCAGGTAGTAATATGACTACGCATTTGAGTTAATACAAGCAGTGTAAAGACTAGGAAAGTAATACTGGATCTCCTGTGGATGCTGAGAATCGATCCAAGCCAATCCTTGATTTACCATGTGCTCCAAAGCTTTTTTGCCTCTTTCTTCCTCCCAATTGAGTTCCTTGCATGCCTGTGAATTCGATACGTGTGCAGAATTTTTTTCGGCTAGTTGTAAAATCGTCGAGTGATCCATGCTCAATTCGCCGGGTACCGATTGCACCATGTACCTGTCTCTACCCATCGGGATCACGTTGAAACCGCTTCCGAAAATCCTCAGTTTTTTCGCTGCCCTGATTAAATCGTCTTTGCTGATATCTTGATGGGTTTTGCTTTGCCCTCTGGCTTTTATGAGCTTCGTTCGTAACTCGTCCAAGCTGATTAGCCCCCCGTTTTTGGCAGTTGTCGCTAAGCACACTTCCACGATTTGTACGGCTAGTTCGTAGTAAAAATCGCCTATGCCCAACACCGACCAAAATCCTTTACCCGACGACAGAGGATCGACGCCTATACTGGAGCACATTTCTTGAAACTGTTTCCTAAATTCCGGATTCTTTCTAATTTCGTTTTTGTATTTCGTAGCGAACTCTTCTAGGTTCGTTTTGAATACTTCCATTTGCTTGGTCATTTGCTCGAATTGGTTTTCTTGTATTTCGTTGCCTTTGCCTCTGTACCTTTCCTGTGTCAGTCGTTCCTTCCTTATGGCACCGACGCCTATTCCTCTCCTCATTTCGACAGGTTTTTTTTTGTTAAACAAATTAAATTTGACTCGATTTTTTATTCAATTTCAATGTTTTTCAACTACAAGTACAAACGTCAACTTCAATGTCAATTCAGCTGTCAAACAATATTCTTCAAGTAAACTGGTCTTTTACTATGTTGACTAATCAGCCCATTTTTTTCACAACTGATATACCAATATTTTTACATAGATGCGTAACAAAACTATCTCTATTATGGAGAATAATAGTTATTAAAATATTTTTTGCAGGTTGCCGGATCATATCACTCTCAAACTTCACCATTACATGTGTTTACGGCTCATCAAGCGGCGGTTAAGGCATTGGCATGGTGCCCTTGGCAGCCTTATATTTTGGCTAGCGGCGGTGGTACCGCAGACAGACACATCAGACTTTGGAATTGTAATACCGGAAGTTGCGTTAATTCAATCGATACCAAGTCCCAGGTAAATTCATCACGAGCACACTCTCGAGAGCTGTTATTAATGTTGATTCTTCTTAGGTGTCTTCCCTGTTATGGTCGACTAATTATAAAGAGCTCATATCAGGCCACGGGTTCGTTCATAATGAAATTGTAATTTGGAAGTACCCTGGTATGACTAGGGTAGCGGAATTAATGGGACATACCTCGAGAGTTCTTCATCTCGCTATGTCTGCCGACGGGAGTACAGTTCTATCGGCTGGTGCAGACGAAACTTTAAGACTGTGGAAATGTTTTCCAAAAACCAAGGACAAAGTCAAGGACGTTGAAAAAATTAAAGTCAAACCGAGTGTGTTGAAACAATCTATTAGATAGTATGCATCTTAATGGTTTAAAATAGGTTAATTTTATTTTAAGTTTTGTAGTAGTATTTACATATTTTGATACTCGGTATTTCAGAAATATACGTTTTATTTTGGCATATTCACGAGTACTTATTACCCCTTTATTCCAATAGTTGCTAAATGTAAGTTAGAAAAATGACCGGTAGTGACGTTAGACTCTTAAGTAAAAGTCATACGCCATACAAAAAAAGAAGAAATAATAAACAGAACTTAACCTCTAATAAGAATTATTGTTTTCATGTACGTTGTTTGCTGGTTTTCTTAATTTACTGCTAATTGTTATAATTCGATTGTGATTTAACATGAGTCCTCAAAAGAAGAAAAAGTACGAGTCAGATTCTTCGGACAGTTCCAGCGATTCATCTTCATCGGAGGATAACAAAAGGACCCATAAAAAGAATTCCAACAAACACAAACCGTCTTCTGACGGTGAAAGTGGCAAGGATACTTCCAAAGCCAAACGAAAGAAGTACTCCGAATCTTCTGAAGATTCTTCAGATGATAACACAAAAGACAGGTGAGAATTTTTTGGTACCGACTTAATCAATGTTGCCTGATCATTCAACACTGATCAAATCGTTTCGTAATCCCAAATTATTGTTTATCTTATGTTATGTCAATATATTGACATCAATTGCCAGTGCTAAATTATTAAATCTATCCAATGTTCCATTTACTTTTATACTACATTTTGTAAGTATCGTTTATTTCAAAATTCACAATTACCAGCTTACTAAAGAGCTAAAATTTTGGGTAAATTTTCAGGAAGGCTCAAAGGTCTGATTCCAGGAAGGACCACGGAGGACACCATAGTAAACAAGCTCGTGAGAAAACCCACAAGCAGAAAGAAAGACGTAGATCTACCGAAGCATCGGGCGAGGAAAGGTCCAGAAGAGAAAAATCAGACAAAGAGAAACTCGGCAAAGAAGTAAGAGGAGGCAGCATCGATCGAGCCAGAAGTAGAGATAAATACGAGGACAGTCAGAGAGATAAGCAAGTCGAGAGAAATCGTTACGATACTAGAGACAGAAGAGACGATAATAGAGATAGAAGGGACGATAGAAGAGATGATAGGTACAACAAAGGCAGAGATAGAAACGGGCGAGATAGGTTTAGAAAGGATGACAAATTTTCAAGGAGTGAAACATACAGAAAGGACGATTATAGGCAAAAAAGAAATGATAATAGGTAAGCTATTGTAGGTAACCCACATATAAAAATAAATACTTATAATATATATTTTTAGATATAGAAGAAGTAGCTCATTTGATCACGCTAACGCCAAATGGGGCAAACCGGAAGATTCTCAAGATAAAATGAAAAAAGAGCCCCAAGAAAAGGAGAAGCCTAATTTTGGTCTGTCCGGTAAATTGACTGCAGAAACCAACACCTATAGAGGCGTTGTAATCAAGTACAGCGAACCTCCGGAAGCTAGGAAGCCCAGGAGAAGGTGGAGATTGTATCCGTTTAAAGGCGAAAAGGCTTTGCAGACTTTGTACATTCACAGGGAGAGTGCTTATCTCATTGGAAGAGATAGGAAAATCGTGGATCTTCCTGTAGATCATCCGTCGTGTTCCAAACAACATGCTGCTCTTCAGTACAGATTAGTACCTTTTACAAGAGAAAATGGAAGTGCTGGTATGTTTATATACGATAAATTCTAGGTTTTTAATGGTATTTTAAAGGTATTTTTGAAATTTATAGGTAAAAGGGTCAGGCCTTACCTGATTGATCTCGAGTCTGCGAATGGAACGTACATAAATAACAAGAAAATCGAACCGAAGAAATACTACGAGTTGATCGAAAAGGATGTTATCAAATTTGGATTTAGCTCAAGGGAGTACGTTTTGCTGCATGAGAACAGTAAAGATGAAGGATTGGATGATGACGTAAAATTGGAAGATGAGGAAGTTGAAGTGAAAAAGGAAATCAAGACGGAAAATTAATTTTGTGAGTTGTAAGTAATCCAATATTTAATAAGTCTGCAATAAAATTTTGTCACTAATTTGCAGATTAATTAATTGTTGATTGATAGACGGTATAAAAAAAGCATTTAGATATGTTTATTTATATTTCAAACAGTGTTCTACAAATTAAAGACTTAAAAAAATCACATATTTCACTATTTACAAAGTATTTACAATAAATATATTAGTTATTTAAACAATACTGAAGAGAAATTGAGAAAATTTAACAAATCACTATTATTTACATTCGTAAAGTAAAATTTAATTTCATCAGCATTAAATATTGCATTTAAAAAATCTACTTAACAACAAATTATTTACATATTTTCTTTACACTTACCCAGCACTTAAAAAAGCTACATCTTATAAAGGTAATTATTGAAGATGTTGTTTCTAAAACAACACTTTTCATTATCTCTAGTTTGTACATTGTCAATGATATGCTTTTCTTGGTGAAAAGAAAACAAAAAAGCTCAAAGCTTGACTACATAAATAATCTACCCGATACAAAAAATTAATATTCAGTAAACTACGGAAATTAAATAAAAAAAAACAGTTAAGTTGCAACTATTCACCACCCAATTATTATCCTAGTTTGTTTGCCAAACTGCTGCATATAGTCTTTTACTTTTGTTACAACAGCTGCCTTTGTACAGTGTTTTGTACATTACGATTTAAAATTTATTAGGAACCTCATAACCGTCGTTCTCTAAAACACTCTCGGGCCCCATAATAACTTCCAGATATTTAGGCGCTTCCTCCTTATTCAACAACGGCATCATTTCTTTGGGCGATTCGTCCGGACTCCTCCAGGAATTTCCTAAAGAAAAACCACTAATCAGATATTCGGCAAAACGCTTTATTTTGAAGATTATTTGGAACCGCAAATTATTCCAAATAATTCGAAATAAACTTACATAATGTGCGTACGAGAATTTCACGTTTTGGCATTACCTGAACTGTTGTGATTTTCATCACGAAAATAAGCTGCATTCGATATCCCAGCAAACACTGCAAAGCATTCAATGAAACAAAAATGAAGATTAGTTACATGCTAAAACGGTACCCGTGCTTGGTGGTGTTAAAAAAAAACGAGCAAAATGAGTATTTTTAAATGGGCGGTTAATGTACAGGATGTCCCTAAAATAATTATATACCTTTCGGGGGTTATTTTGTTTGATTAACCGTATGAAACTAGTTCAATGATAAATGTAGTAATTAATATATTTTTTAAGATTTTAATTTTAAAGAGTTAATTGTTAATCCAAGAAATAAATGAAGAAAAAAAGTAGTTCCCTTGCAAAAGGAAGTGAGTTTCATAATTTTCATTGTTTATACCTTCATGTTCGATATCCTATAATTCATAGCAAAATTACCCCTTATGCAACAAATCAACAAACAGAACTAATCGACCTTTTGCAAGGTAGAACATCTCTTTTCCCTGAATTATATTTGATGTTTAATTTTTAGAAATAACCATGCATTCAATACGTAATCTACTTACGATCTGGTACAGTACTGACGTATTGACCTTCGTGGGCGCCGGTCGTGGGATTTCGCAATGTTTGCCTGTGCAAGGCCTCTAGCACTTCGAAGCAATATTTAAACGTGGGCCTCTTCTCCGGATCGAATTCCCAGCATTTCAGCAACAAGTTGTGCCTGAAGTTCCGTAAAGGATCATTCGCAAGCCGAAAGAAGTTTGCCGTTGTACTTACAGTTCTTCGGGACAATCGACTGGCTTGCCCAACCGTCCTCCTCTTCTCACGTAATGCAGAACTTCCGTATTAGTTCTGGCCGGGTAGGGCTGTTGCCCTAGGGTCATTATCTCCCAAAGGAGGACCCCGAAAGACCACACGTCGGATTGGCTGGTGAAGAAACCGTCTGTTAGGGATTCCGGAGCCATCCATCTTACAGGAAGAAGCGCTTCTCCTTCCTTGAATTGAACATAATACGTTACAAATGACCACTCTTTAGTCGAGTAAGCGAGAATACCTCACCTTTCGATAATAGTCGTTTTTATACACATCTCTAGCGAGCCCGAAATCGCCGATTTTCACTATCCTCGATTCGGTATCGTTCGAAGACACCAGGCAATTTCTGCAGGCCAGGTCTCTGTGTACGAAGTGCTTCTCTTCTAAATACCTGCACCCTTTCGACACGTCCACGCACATTTTGAGCAGCTCGATCAGCGTCAGCGGTTGCGTGGAAGTCTGCGAAGGGAAACTCGAATTATCGCCCGAGAATTGCTGTACGAACAACTTACAGATGGATTCCTGGAGTTCCGCAAATACGACAGCAGATCTCCTCCTTCCATCAGCTCCATTATGATGAACTGCGGATCGTTGTCCAGGCACACGCCGAGCAGCTGGAGGATGTGCTCGTGCTGGAAGTGGCTCATCAGATTGGCCTCTTTGAGGAAATCGCACTTCTCTTGATCGGACGCGCCCTTCTTCAACGTCTGAAACGGAGAATGGCGCTCGAAAAATTGCGATATTTTTGATTTCGTTTCGTTAATTACCTTAACGGCTACTTTGGTTTCAACGTTTATGCCATCGATTCCTTTGGCTTTGCCTTCGAACACCTCGCCGAAGGCGCCGCTGCCCAAGAATTGGGTCAATGTTATTTGTTCTCTGTAAAACATTGTGTGAAAAACACTGTTCCTGTTACAATTAGCGCAGTTTTATTACCGTTTTATTTGAGGTAGAAGCTTCAATTCTTCCTCGGTTGGTTGCTCATAAAGCAAATTGGTCCTGTGGATGCCCCTGGTAGGCATATCCCTGAGCCTGACCAATTCGCCGTCTGGACCTTTCGGCGCTATAGGTAACTGTTGCAGCGCCTTTTCCTTGTCTTTTCCGAAGTATACGACTGGAAATTAGTGGTTTAATTAGGTCAAAATCCATTAGGTTAATAAAAAAACGAATATCCTTACTGATGATCAAAAATAAGACCAAAGCAACGCATATGGCGATGGGAATCGTAATGGCCATAACGATCAAATTGGTGGGGTTCTGTTTCTCCGCCATTCTGGCCGCTTCGGTCAGATCGAATTCGTTGCTCTCTTCGCTGAAGTTACTCCAACCGTACGAGTTTAAAGCTGAAACTCTAAAGGCGTACTTTTGCTTCTCGTTGAGCCCGTTTATTATCCAAGACGTATCTGAAATTTCAATTCGTTTCAGCTCGTTTTGGTATGTTTTAGTTTCGAATTCACTTACTAGTTCCGTTGTAGTAGGTAACCCATTGTTCGGTTTCTTCCAATTCGATCGATGGAGCTGTATTGAAATAAGCGGTTCTGTTGCTGGTGCTTCTTTTATTCCGGTAGAATCGCAATGTTTTACCCTCTAGTTTGTATATTGTGATAGGCGCCCCGTTATCTTTCGAAGCTTCCCATAGCACCTTGTAAGTGTTGGGATTTACGTACTGAATTATAGGTATTCCAGGTGGACTAGGTCTATCGCCTTCAAATACACCACATTAATTACTAACTAAACTAACTTAAAGAAATTTAAACATACCCAACGTCTCGTAAGTGAATTTATTAGGCCAAATGTACTCCTCATTGTAACCCTCGTACAACAACCTCAACCTAAATTTGTAATGAGTCTTCGGTTTGAGGTGATCGATTCGGATCAGCAACGTGTCGTTCTCTCTTCTGGTCGAATTGATCGATTGCCAGTCGTTGTTGGTCAGCAGGGAATATTCGATTTTGCAGGACACCGTGTGATCGGTGGGCTCCCAAGACAGCCGCAATTCGTAGGCGGATCTGTCGGCCAACAGCAGGGGATTGGGCCCCGGGTAGGTGGTGATTTGCACCCGGTCGCTGTCCGAGTAGGTGTCGTTCGTTTCGCTGTAGCTGCGCACCCAAATCGTGTAGGTTTCGTTCGCGGATAGGTTTGTGAGGGAAGCGTTGAACACGTTCGAGCTGTTGACATTGACCTCTCCCCGTTGCCGGACGCCCGAGGGGGTGTTTTCCGTTTGGAAGAGGATTTGGTAGTACACCTTTATGCCGTTCAGTACCTCCGGCGGTAGCCAAGATATCACAGCTAAGTTAGGGCTGAGCACCAAAGCTGACACGTTTCTGGATTGCGAAGGCACTACATAGAAGAGCTCGTTGAGGAGAATTGTTGGATTACTCATAAACTGTACTCACCTCCTGGAGATGTTTGGAACACGCTCGGCGGTCCAATAATAATATCGTTCTCTTTGGAATATTCGTTAGTAACAGCCACTCTTATCAGATACTTCGTGTAAGGCTTCAAATGATCCAAAACTCGCCTTCTATCGGACGTTACCAACATCGAGCAGTTTGCGTTAGCGTCGCAGTCGAAACCCTCCACGAATTCGGTATAATAGACCGTATATTTAATTCTAGCCATGGAAATATTCCTGCATTCATTGTAGATCAAAGGCTCCGGTAGTTCGATCACCACCGAGTCGAACGTTTTCGACGCCAACGAAACAGTGTAGTTGTTGTGCTGTTTGGGGCTCAGGCACCTTTGTGGTGGGTACGGTTGGACGTGTTTTCCGTATATTTTCATGTCTGAAATCTAATCAAATCGGTCAGATATTAGTGACAATAGAAGCCGGAGCAGCTTGGTCTACTTTCAGCAAACTTTGCAATATATCTAGTTATACAAGAGACTTATAAACAGTGTTGTTAAAAGGAGCTTTTTTGTTCAATCACTGTGAACCAGAAAGTATAAGAAGAATAATGGCTAAGTAAATTAGATATAGGTTCTATCAGGGAGAGAATGAGACAGCAGAGACTCCAGCAACAGGAGTTAAAAGGAAAGACCTGGAGCTGATATGTGGAAAACTAGATTTACCAACCATTCCTAAAAAAGGAATAGTATATCGCAGTAATAGGCAAGCACTGAGCGAATTTTCAGTGCCTACCTTTAAAGTGTATTTACAAACCTGTTTCTTGGCGATTTGCTCCTTCCAGTCCACAGAATGAACAACACCGCCGTTCGTCCAATAAACGTTCAAGAAATCCGCCTCTAAATTCTTCATAGGAAAATCCTCGATCGCCTCGTTGAAATCGACGAGCAATCCGCAAGTGTCCGAGTACTTGTCCGCCCAAAGGATACACCGGGCGTCCAGAAACACGATCCTGGGGCTCAAATCGAGGCCGGAATGGTCGAGCGCGAAGTAAGGCCCGATTTGCGGCTTGTAAGGACAGTTGGAGTTCGACAGTTTACCGAAAGCTGGATGTTTGGTAAAAAACGACCTCTCGTAGCTCCCGTCGATGTCGCTTTGTTTGAGCTCGTACGTTTGAGTCCTGGACGTTTCGATCCAGTAGAGGCTTCTCGTGAAGGGCGATACTTCGAGCTGGGTTATCGCGCCCTCCGAGGACTCCAGGATTCTTCGGCTCTCCAAAGCATTCGCGCTTAAATCGAGCTGGAAAATCGCCGAGGTGCATTCGCCTTCCAATCGCTGCGCGTAGTACAAACTCTTCCCCACCCAATCGAGCGTTATGCAGTCCACCTGTCCGTTGATCTCGAAAATTTTCCTCTGGATATTATCGCGCCAATTCAAAACGAACAACTCGCCTTTTTTGTCAACCCAGAAAATGTTGTTGTCCTTTAAGTGATACGTAATCAATTTAGGTTCAATAACACCCGTTAACAACGGAGTAGTTTCGTTCAAGTCTATATCGTACAAGCTTATGGAGGATTCCGAAGCGACGAGAAGCGCGGGAATCGGGCGTTCCACGGCCGTATTCACCGAAATCGGTGCGGATTTCTCGCCCAACCCCACCTTCGTGAAACCTTGAACCTCGAAGAAATACTCCCCGGAATTCGCTCGTAGCCTATACTCAGTGTCGTTGATAACGACATCGTTATCGCAGAGATCTTCGTTGACGGCGTTCCAGCACCTGAGCTTGTAGCCCTGCAACACCCCGTTAGGGGTCGCGGGCGGGTCCCACCTGAGGGTGATGTTCACGTAGTGGTTCTCCAGCGACGAGTGCCTTTCGAACTCGACGAACGTCCTCAAGTTCAACGGCGCGGAAGGCGTAGAAGACGGCGTTATGATCTGGGTGTGGAGCAGCGGAGATGCCGCCCAGTAGGTAAACGCTCTGATGGAGATGTTTATGGGAGTGAACGGTGTGACGTTTAACCAGTATTTGATCGAAGGCTCTGTTGTTACTATCTGTAATATCAGATTTTGTTGTATGAATTTAAGAAGTTCATCAGTTCCAAAGTTTACTCACATCGAAGCTGTTGAGTTTCGACTGGCTGGTGTCTTGAAGTTCGTAAAAAACTGTGCCGTAATTCACGTTTGTTATGGGGTTCCATGTAATATTAAACGATTGATATGAGCCGTATACTTTCACTGAATTCTCGTCCACCATACTTGGAATAACGTTAACTTGTAACCAAGGGTCTAAAATGCACGAAAATTTTCCACGATTATTAATGAAAATGTTGATACAAAAAATGATTGTTTGAGTAATTACCTGGAAGCATATACAAGGACGAGTCGGCTACGTAAACCATCTGTAATCCTTGCATGTATTTTCCGTTAATAGTGGCGATATTCTTCCCTGACAAATCGCTGATGGCGGCGTTTCTGTCGTCCTGCAACCACAGGAGGCGCTTGTGGAAGTAGCTCAACGATCCTTGAATGTTCGGTTTTTGGAGACTGGAAATTATTTCCACGTTCGGCATATTGTTCTCCCAGTAGCCCATCATCCGAGCTCTGTATAAAATAGATCCTTCGTTGCCTCTGACTATCCAATACACGAATTTTTGTTCGAAATCTAACGTCAGACCCATGACTGAAAAAAATTACCGTGAGCGTCGAAATAATCGGAAGATATTGATGAAACTTACTCTGTTTTCCGGAGAAAAACTGCACATCGTGGTACTCGACTCTCTCAACGCCGTTCAAGCGGGCGCATTCCAGTTTTATACCCGATGAATAATAGAGATATGCTTTCACAGAATCTATGTTTAACTCCTTCACCAGCAGCGGTAACAGAGGCTCCTGCTCTGATCCGTTTAGATTCGCGCGGAGAATCTGGTATCAAGAAGAATGTAGTCTAGAATGTACTAATTAGAAACAATAATTCTTACCAGCTGTTGTTTAGGACTGGACCAATACAACTTCATTCCTATCCAGTCCACCGCGATGCTTCCAACTTGATCCAAATCCACCAATCTATCGTATATTTTAGAAGTGGTGTTGTAACGATACACCAAAGAAGTATTCGTCACCAAGAACACCTGGTCCTCGATCCAGGCGATGTCGGTGTAGTAATAATCCCTCATCGTGCTTCTGTCGATGAGCACTTCCAGATTTTCGCCGGCCGCGTTCGACTTGAGCAGCCCCTCGGCGGCCGACCACAGCAGCACCGGGCTCTCGGTGGAGTTCAAGGTGATGCCGCGGAAGTCCGAGGACCACGGGCCTCGCCCGGACTTCGTGTAGGCCGCCACCTTCAGGATGTACTCGGTGTTTTCCTTCAAATTCGGTATGGTGTAGGAGGTGGTGTTGATGTTCCTGTAGTACACCGGCTCCTCGTTGGCGGCTTCCCTTATCGAAATCTCGTACGACCAGTTTTGCCAAGCTCCTTTGCCTACAAATCGCGGGTGTTAACAAACTCTTCCTTCGCCTGTGTGATTGAAGATTGTTTTGTAAATGAAATAGGACTGTAAACTCACCTTGCAGTCCGACCAAATGAGGTGGTTGCCACCTGGTTTTGGCTATGTCTCGATCGAATATGGCTTGGACGCTGGTGGGAGGATTGATGGGCGTCGGCCACGGTTGGAAGTTCGGCGAATCGATGAAGACTTTCTTGTAGTGGCCGTACTTTTGCTCGGTCATCGTGTTGTGGTAGTACTGCTGCTTGTTGTACTCCTCGAAGTAGACGTCGACGCCGTCCGTCCAGTAGAATATCCGGTTCTCCATCGCCAGCGACACCACTTTGGTGAGCTTGGCCGCCGAGACGTTGGGCCGGATGTTCTTGTGATCTTGCCTACGAACACGAATCCTTTTAACAATATTTACTTACCACATTGTTACGATGATAACATCATAGTACCTAGTTACAATGAATTGTTAATCTTTCAAAAAAACTCCTAACTTACCCGTCTAGAGATATTGAAATGATGGTGTTCAATCGGTGGTAGGAGAGCAGCACGTTGAAATTTTGGTACTCGAAGGTGAACGCTCCCAATTCGGTTTCGTTGAGTATTTTTTTGATTTTCTTATCAGCCGGAATACCGTTGCTGATATCATTAATATCCAAACGAAAAAAACCGCCGTTGTTATAATCCTGAATCGCCCAAAATAAGTACCTGCAAAAACGGAATAATCAGCAATTTATCCAAATTAAACATCGCGAATTAAACTTTACCCGTTTAGAGGATCGATTTGCATGGAAGAAGGCTTCTGGTTCAATCCCGCGTAAACCACCACTAAATTACCGCCGTCTAAATCACACCGCTTTATAATGTAAGCGGTATTGAACTTTATCTCTCCCAAAATGTACAGCTGATCGTTCAGCCAATCTACGTTGAGATCTAAGGGCTTGAAATCCAAATTTTGCGGCTCCAAGATGCGCATGCTGGTCGTGGGATCCCGGTAAAGGTGGATTTTCGTTACGTAACCATCACTATCCGCTACGAACAGCAATCGTTTGCTGTAGTGGAAACCAATGCCTGCGAATTGTGGAGTTTATGGTAATGTATTTGTGGAATTTATTTGCAAATCACCTTTCAATTCGATTTTGCTGATGTATAGTATCCTTGGCTCCACTTCTAAGATGATGTGGTTGATTTCAAATACTGTAGAATTCGTGGCCAGTATTAAGTGAGGTTGCTGAATATTGGTCACTGAAACGTTAAGTAAAGAGCATTATAGAGCATTTTCGGTTATATAAATACTAACTTTGTCGCTCTGCTGGCGTAGAGACCGTTATCGTGGCCGGAGGTCCGGACCCATCTTTGTTCCTCATTCGTAATTCTACAGAATAATTATTTAACGCTTTCAAGTCGCCGACTACAATGTCCGATTTATCGGGAGGAATGTCCTAAAGTAGAATTACAGTTCATTATCGCTCATTATTTCTGATTGTACTTCGTCGGATGGCGAGAGAAGAGTTGGAGTTATCGAATTCGATACTGCGCGTTAAAGTATTAGATTCGCGTGCAAATATAACGAAGTACAATCTAAAATAACTCCAATTCGGAAATGATTGTGCAAGAAAGAAGAATAAACATCGTAAGAAGCTTTATAGATAAGCGTAGAGTATCATGCAGGTTCGTGCTGTTAGTTCAACAAGTTTACAGTTAAAACATATAATAAGGTTTTAAAATTAGGTTTTAATAGTGGTGTGTTCATTAATAAACTTTCAAAAAGTATTATTTACTCACAAGAGCAGCCTTTCGTGATAAAAACATACAAAGCGATAATCCTAAGAAGAGTTTAACAACTTCATTCACATTCAAATCGTCAAATCACAAACTTAACCGGCGAGAAAACGAAATTTAAATTCATGTAAAACAACAACAAACCCATTCAGAAACCCATTGTCACCTTCGAAACGGATCATCTAAGTTCACACATATTTACATATCGCCAAAGCAAGAAAGAACGCTACAAAAGAAGGGTGCATAAAAGAAGAAAGAGATTTTTGTCACACGAAATACGAACTCGGTAATCGGTTTTAACGTGTGGCTGCCGATAGCATCGGTTCTTCAATTAAAATAAACAGAAAAATGATTCTAATTTGAACAGATTCTCAAATATAGGAGCAATAATGGGTCTATACGATAGGCAAAATGATGTATTATCAAGTAAATTAGATACACTTTATAGAATGCTGTTCTTATTTGTATTATTGATTAGGATCAGTAATTGGACTATGGTAATATTAAATTGGTGTCTTTAGATAATAAATTACCAGATTCAAACCAGAGCAACTGAGTACTATTTTGTACAAGTTTATAGAAGTAGAAAGGTCCTGGAAAACATTCACTGAACGACTTAAATCGAGGGCTGTAGAACCGATGCGACCGAGGCAGCCAGTCGCGAAAACCCCAAAGCACACCTTGACTTCCGATCGATGATTATCGGTAATATTTAGAACGTAGGAGAGGAGAGGGCCGTGCGGGAAAGGTCCGGGTTCCCAGCTGATGCTTATACTTGATGAGTCCACTGGATTGGCTCGTACATTCTGCGGCGGCGACGCCGGCGGCCCGTCGGGCGCCGTACTGATGACGACGCTCTCGCTCGAAACGGCGAGCTCGCCGTAGTCCTGCCCGATTTCCGAGTCCAGGAATATAGCAATGCGAAACTGAAGAAGTTCAAAGTATAAACATCAACGTTCGACATTAGATACACTTCCGACTTACCCTGTATTTGGTGTAAGGCTGCAAATCCTGCAGGTAGAACACGTTGGCGTCGGCGTCCCAGGTGGTGTTCCTGCACGACTGCCAGGCAGACTTGGAGGCGGAGAGCTCCTCGTAGCGCCACTGCGGCAGGCAGCTGAGGCCCATCTTCTTGGCCGCGGGGAAGTTCCATTCCAGCTTCAAGGAGTTGGAGCGAAGGGAGTCGGCCAGCAGGGCGGGCACCGGAGGCGTGCCGATCAGCTGCTTGAGGTTCGACACGTACTTGTCCACCGCGTAATTGCAGCCCCTCACGCAGTACAGGTACTTGGGCTTCAGGCGTTCGGTGGTACCGTTCTGTAATGGCTGGTGAATGGGGTTGGTGTACAATAATTGCTTGGTCGCAAAGAGTATGAATATTTTATGAAGATACTTTGTTTCATTAGTGTAATAAAAACTAATAGACTGTTTTGCATTTGAAGATATAAAAGATGTAGACATCTACACTGTATATAGACAAAAAGTAGCACCATATAGTTCCTTTTTTCGTATTAAAATTTCAATAAAACCGGGTATATTGAAGAAATAAATTAAATACTTACGCAGGTTTCTTTGCATGTAGAACTTAGAGCTTTCCTCCAGAGTTTGCATCCTTTCACGCACTGTAACAAAAATAATAAAGTGCTATTAGGTGACAATAAGTTAAATTGGGATTAATGTTAATTTAGTGTAATTTTGCGACAAGTATAAAATATACCAAATTTTTGTGGCTTCGAGAAAGCTTCAGTAAAAAATTGAATAATGGTGACTTAGGTGGTAAACGTGGCTAAAACTTGCTGTTTAAAGCAATTATGACTAGAGAGGAGAGTTAATGAGGAAGCGGGGAATTAGGCAACCAATGTACTTTTTTACTCTCTAATCTTCGTTATTATTTCGATATGTTCACTCGTCTTGTACAGTTCTAACATTCGTTTTATATGGAAAATCATCTCGTGGATTGGGCCAATATCTCGCAATAATTAAAGCTAATGTAATGTTTTTACTGGAAATTTTTAATATTATATTGGACGCGTTATGGTAATCTGATTTATTTATTTTTAGGTTGCTTTATTTATGAAATACCAGAATGATCACGCATAAACTCAAACTGTCAATGGTGTTAGATCGTTTCAAATTCATTGATAAATCATGCGAAAAATGTCCTCTCGTTATCATGACAAATGAAGCTGTTTGTTTCGATTTTTTGCCATTTCTCCATCTAATTATACACAACTAAAACTGTATCACGATAAATTCGATCAAAATGTTGTTTTGGTTATTAAGAGTTTCTTGATTTCCAGTAGCCAAGATAACGGCTCGAATTTTTACCGAACGTATTGATTAAACGAATCTGATTCGGAAAAGCAGAACAGACGTTGGTTGTTTGGGATTATTTACGCCATACTTTGCAAATTATACATTACTCAAATCTATTGGAATTATGTTATTTGATATGATTTTTGCAAAAAAGTTTAGTAATGCATGGTGACTTGTACTTCTAATATATCTTTTTTCCTTTAACATTTTTACAAAAATTAGAAACTCCAGCCACTAAATGTTTCCAAGATCCTTCAATATACGCGTACTAGTACCTACATATGTACATACAATAAAAGGATAAATAGTTGAAATGATCTTTTGCAATTCACCAGGCAATAAACTATTATATCCAAAACATTCCATTTGATTGTTCAATTTACTCGACACCTTTGTGTCCACAAAAACCCATCATTATCTGTATATTATGGCAGACGCGATGCGAACCGCGAGTTTCTCGAGAGCACGCGTCCACTTAATCAATTTAAATTTAATGTTTGCACGGCGTCGTCGTCGTCGTCGTCTTGAAGAACTGGTTGATGTTTTTCAGTTTACAGGTCAGGAGATGAACCAACGGTGACCCAAACAACGCAGCGCCTCGCCTCGGCTCGGCTGATAACAGGCCTCTCGGTAGCGTAAATACGGTAATTTATGTGCGCCACAACTTTTTTCCGATCTATTATTTATGGCTAGTAAATTCTCTATTTATAGCCGTAATCGATCTGAAGGTCTCCGTTTGTTTTGTTTGCTCCGGGATTTTTTCGTTTTGTACTAAAACAAGGTTGCGATTGTTGAGGTTTGTTACAATTGGATCGATCTTCCTTCCTGTGATGTACAGGGCCAGCATTTGTATGGGAACTGACAAAAGACCACAGACATGTAGATAATATGGTGCAAATTGTACCTACTAAGTTGCACGCCTGAGAATCTTTCAAATGGAATATCTTGGTTAGTTGACTGTAATATTAACATGATGCTGGTAATAATATTGGGACTAAAAAAATCCGGTACTAAAGGACCTCAATAAGTTGCTCAATAAGTATCCGGAGATGTGGAGTACGAAAAACATATTTACATCACTAAATTTGACGATTTTTTAGGACATTCTACTAAAATACAATATTTTTCAGATGATTGTAGATACAAGTAAAGTTAAAGGTTTTTAGAAATATTTCAAGATCAAGTTTAAACCACCAACTTGAATTAGGGACTAAAATTAGTCGATCAATTTCAAGATATAAACAAAAAAGTTCTTAATATCCCTAAAAGGGTTTTAAATGGTTCTGGACTTTTCTAGTTTATCATAGACCATTGCAAATAATCCTAATAAATTTGTTATAAATGATTTTGGACAGCTGTAAATGATTCTGAACCATTTACAATATGATTAAGATTGTCTTGAGCCGTTTCAAATGCTCCTAGACAGTTTTAAGTGGTTTTGATGGGTTCTAAATGGTTTTGGACAGTTCAAAATGGTGTTGAACACTTCTAAATGGTTGTAAAACTATCCTGAACAATTTGAAAACACGAACATCAGACTCTCTTAATAATACTCTCAAATACTTTCGAGCAATATTACATACAATGATCAGATACACTTTTCCTCATTATCTTATGTTATTCCTATACGTTCACCTCGTCGCGGAATGTCTTCTTTTGGTGGAAAAGAAGATACCACGATGGAAAGAGGATGAAAAGTGAACATATGGAAGAGTTACAAAACAAAATTGTTCGACTCTTTGGGCACCTATTTACAAAATGACCTACCCAATAGAACGTAATCAGGCGTATCCCGTTCCCGTTGGCGAATTAACCGTCCGATGGCCATTCGTCGAACGGATTTCCTGCGCGGCGGATCGGGAACGGATGCCCGGATGGCAGATGCCGGCGCGCCGACAGCGCGGCGTAAGTGCAATTTTTATTTTCTTCTTATTTAATCAGCCCGACTCCATCGGGCGCATGTATCGGGAAAGTCGCCCGCGCGTAGAGCGAATCGAGGCCCGTAGATAGGCGTGCGACTGCACCGGCTGGAGCGGATGCGCCGCTCATCGGCCGCCGACGACGTTATTGTCACAAATTAGAATGCATCGCGGCCCGTTGCTGGTTCAACAAAACAATATTGGATGCAATTAGATGACCACTTTCCCAGGCCCTCCTGCTTGCACTCGCCGGGCCGAGGAACAACGGGCATATTCATTGGACTGGATCGAACGCGTCCAAATGTTAAAGAAAATTATACTGGAAATGAGGAAAAAATGAAGCTGTTGATGCATAGTAATTCGTATTAGAGAAAGAACCAAATGAGGCAATAATTTAATAGATATGTAGACACTAGTGAGTTCCAAGTTGGGTTCACATACGATTCCAATGGTAATTTTGTAGCTTTAGTGTAATTATGGTACGAAAGAAAATTTCGGTTATCTGTACAACTGAACTTTGCAAGTTATCGGCTAAATAAGGAGCTCGGGATTTCTATTTTTGAAAAGATAATGGCGGTGATGAAATACACATAATTTCCCAGTTATTACCGACCGCAATGGATTAATTGGTAGGCGGAAATTGTCGCGAAATTAATTAATTAAAACGAGTTAAATTCGTCACTACAAACACGGAAAGTCAAAACAATGTCCTTTTTATTCCGAAATGTTATTTATGAAGTGGCTGTTATAATATGATAAAGTGGTCTGTTTTTTTCGGCAATTTTTTTGATTTATTACCAAGAAGTCTCAATTTGTGTTGTTGTCTTTAATTAAGCAAGAAACTTAATTGCACAACATTAAACCAAATAAAAATCCTTAATAAAATAAATAAATTTACATAAACACTCGTCTCAAATTGTACCTAATTTTCCCATTCATAAAATAAATCTACTACCAAAACGGTTTAAATTCAACCAAACAATAAAGCGGTAATACACCGGCTATTTTTAAACTCCACACGGCAAAGGTCCATTTAATCAGCTCCTTTGTTTTCCGAAACGCAGTTTTAATTGGTCCGAATCTTTTTTAATTGGTTCAAACGTCAACAGCATTGCGACTGGCAGAATTTAATAAAGCCGATGTATTGGCAAGAATTGGCCATTAACTTCTATCAGTTCAATTTAGATCTTTACAACAATGATGTCACCGAGTTATGGACTTGCACTATATGCATAAAATTTACTCTTATGAACCGAGTTGTACCCGTAGGCGGGAATTACGAGAAGCTTTACAATGTAATTTATGCGAATTGTACACATACGTATTTGGTTGTTAATTAAAATTGTCTATAAAGATTAGAAAAATTGTTGTATGTAAGTCTAAAGTAAACATATTCAAATATTTTGGATTCTTTTGTTAAAGATATGTGTGTAATTTATATCAAAATAAAATTTTGGTGTATTTTTGTTTCCATTTTATTTGGTTATCTTGGGTATGTTTTGATAACTTTTGGTCTTCTTGTGTTAAACATTTAAATACGTAATTAATTAAAATGAAACACATATATTATGCATTAGTATCTAAGTGATTAAGTGCCCCTAATTATACAAAACATTCAATTACAATGTAGCTGATTATAACAAATTTAATTTGCAAATTAATTTAATGTTGTAAATTTAGAATAATGTTCTTATGTCTTATGTTTTATAAAATGGTGGATGATATTTAAATGTTTTATTGTAAGTGTCATTGAAATTATTTTAAGACCTTTTTCTCAAACCGTAAATATAAACTGATATTATAGAGAATAACAATAAAACTCACTATAAATCAAGAGTTATCGGACTTTTTTAATTTTTATGTCAAAATATTGGTAAACATCGTTTGTTAACCGCTCTTTTATTATAAAGTTCTCCGATTCACATTAATTTAATTTAAAATGTTCATAACAAAAACCAGTAAATTAATGTATACTATTCAATGTTTGTATGGTGAATGATGAGATTTAACAAGAGAGAAAAATAAACCGAATTAGCTCTGTTAATTGGCAAAATTTTAACGCAATAAATTTAGGAAGTCCCCATATAAAGGTTTCTAACAGGCAAAATTCGATACTCGTGCGATCTGATTTTTTATTGAATTATTTGAAGCACTGACCAGAAATCCGCTTCCGTTTTTCTCTTTAACTGGGTAACATTGCCAATAGGAACAAGCAATTACAGATCATTGTCCCTAATATTAATTAAAAATATATTAATCTAAATGCTCTTCCTATTCGTTATTCCTACTCTTCTTATTCGTTATTTTTGCATAATTTGTTTCATTTAATTTTAAAGTTCATTTTGTTAATGCCTGTAAATTTCTTACAATACAGAGTGTCCAAAAAACAAACTATCTAAAGGCACAAACGAATAAATTGAAATAAATGTCGTGGGAACAGGAATAAAATTTATTACACTTCGAGCACATTATTGAAGCACAAGTTAGTGATAATACACCTATCAATCCTGATAATTCAGGAATGATGTTTTTAACCTTTATACTTTGTAATAAAAAAAGAAGTTTCGAATGTTTCTAAATAATAAATAACGAACAACCTAATTATAATTAAATTATATAAATATTTTCAAAATTGCTACAAAAATCGATGATACGAGGTCATATCAGATAGTACATGAAATCGTGGCGCCATTTTTTTTTCGTACTCAAATTAATTAATTTCGCGTTGGTTACTATCGAAATTGCAGGAGTCAATGATTTAATTATTAGCGGATAAAAAAATCCCGTGTTGATACAACAATTTATTTTATTGTATCCAAACGAATTGGTTTACATAAATATTATGGGTAAGAACATTCAACAGGCATTTTGGCATGAATTTTTTCCACACGAAAAACCCCACTACACATGTTACAACTCTGGGAAAGTGCAACCGAATCCCGGTCTTGAATAAATATTACACCGATCTTTACGCACGAGTAGCGAAGCAGCGAACAGTAAATGAAGATATTGTTTACGTTATCGTAGAGATAAAAACAAGACTATCGATGGTGTTCTGGCAAACCTCAAATGCAAACACTTTGAAGTGAACTAATACCAGCATTCGGTAACATAAACCTTATTATTTATTCCTAATAACAAGCTCCGATAGTCTGCGACCTGTCTGGGAACATATCATTAGCACCGTTAACGGGTAAGGGTAGCATTTTTTTATATAAACAGAAATACTTGTAAACATATGTAAGTGATGGGTGTAGAAACATTTAGCATCAAAAGACATAAAAAAATCTTCAAAAGGGCTATCATAAGGCAGTTTGTTTAGTGTATATATAAATTTTACAAAGTAAAGGACTATACAGGATTGCTAACAGGACTGCACTTTAGAAAAGAGAAGAATATTTTTGGGAATGTCGGTGAAGCGACGAAACGAAAATAAAATCAGTTATTTCATAATTGACCAAACAAGGCACATGACATGACACGACCTCTTCTCCATCAATTGACTTTAAATTGCCGAAAAACATGAAACAGAAGTCCCGACGCGCTTTGTTCTACGGTTACAAAACGGCACCCTCATAATGCACTTCTTCGACCAGATGTCATTCACGTCTGCTCCGAAGATATGCAAGTCAAGTCCATTGAATATCATCAATAGTGTTAGTGATTGAATAAATGCATGGTTTTTTCTTGCTCAGAAAAAAATCCTCTGCATTTAGTATTATACTAATTTGGTTGTACTTTCATTGAGTGCCTTTTTAGATGAATGAAGTAGGAACCAAAATTTACATTTTATATTCAATTCTAATTTGTTATTGTTGGTAGATAATTGACTCTAACAGGGAAAATTATCACGTTAACTAACCTATTCTATAATGATTTATGTATTATTACACATTTTTAATCAACACAACTGTTGCTTATTTTTTATTTATAGATAAATTATTTCGAAAATTAACTGTTATCATTATCGGATGTATGTATGTAATAATAAAAAACTAAATTCCTCGCGACGCAATTGCGCGCAGAATGCGGAAAACTTTGCACTTTGCAACCCGATGGATTAGCTACGGTAAATTCGGTTGAAGAAAACGTTTCTGTTGAATTTCAGTTCCACGAAAACTAAAAAATGGTCGCAAATGACCTAACAATAGACGTCGGCGATAAAATGCTTTGTGCACGAGGACATTTGTACGTTTATTAGCTCTAATAATCCAATCTAACAAGTTATGTTGCTAAAGTGAGCAAGACACGCTCGACGCCTACAAGAACGCGTTTATTTTTTTCATTTTTCATTCAAGACATCTGCGAAAATTATGTCATCCCATTGTTTAAGAAACCAATTTTCCAGCGCAAAAATTACTTCGATTAGTTTCAATGAACTGCGCTCTAATATTAATTCTTATCTAATATTAATTTAACAATTCGTGTGGCAATTTGTTCCATTTCTGTTTAATCATCCTGTATATTCGCATAGTTTATCTGAATAATTGTTTATGTCGTTTACAGAGTAATAGAATTAATGTTTTTGTAATAAATGGTGTTATAGAAATAACAATAATGCTTAAAAATATGATTTGTTATTCATATTTTAATCGAAGATAAGTTTTGAATTACGACAAGCAGATACTAAATCACCAGCACTCTTTTATAACGATTTTAACATTGAAATAATGATACTTACACGTTAACCATCGTTCATTCTAATTTTAGGAACTTCATACGTTTGTATTATTTGCTAAATAATCGTTAACCAATCACATACAGGGTGTTATTTGAAGAGAAGTTAATAAGACGTTACCCAACGACAGTCGGTTTTAATTACCCTCGAAGGGTCGGGGATGGCAATGTGGAAGAGGAAATGATCCCTCCACGGTTGGAGACATCCACCAGGAAACGGCAACAGGTAGTAGGTCAGTTCTTACCTGTTCTATAAAACAGTCGTGGTCGCAGGCGTAACTATAATGGTCCGTATCCGTCCGGTTCTGAAAATAATAAAGACAAATTATTGTTATAAATTCGTTATGAATGTAATTATTCGTATTTACGCGTTTTGCTGCATCCGAAAAGTGTGTGAATCACTGCAGGTTTAAAATTTGCAGCGCAACAGATTGGATAAAGAATATTATAAATTTTACTCTGTTTTAATAAGAATCGAGTTATAAAGAGATACATTTGACGTCTGGACGAAAAATATAATTTTCATGCGCCAATGAGCTTTTGCATTAGGCATTTCCTGAACACTTGTTGAATAAATTAAACGGTGTTCATTCGTTAATTCAACCGTATCAATCAAAAAGGGTGCAAATAAAAAATTAAATGCCTAAACCGAAACGAACCGGTAGAATTAAAAACATTGTATTAAATTTTTAGGAATTTTCCCATTTAAAAATCTCACTTTAATAAGTTATAATGCGACTAATTCTTAGTAACAATTGTATATTTAAGTCGATGGAAATCGCTTGGTGTGTTATAAACAGTCCCCTTATCGCCAATCAGGGTCACAGTTTATAATTAATTTGGAAAAAATCATTGAAAATCCGTTAATACATGAAATTACAAGCAATAAACCTATCGAGTATAATCCCTCTGCAGACTAGCAACATAATTAATTAAAATATTAATTACAATGTCTATCTCGCTTTATTTGACCCTCTGTAACTTTCTATCACGAGCTTGGCTACAACAGCAATACATTATTTTTATATTAATGTGGGATTCGTACAAGAAAATTTGATGGAATAAGCAGTTTTGTTCCAATATTGATAATGCAATTTACAAACAATCATAAAACTGTATTTTTAATTTAGTGAAGAAGATAAGGTTTTTAGCGCAATTTGAATAATAAGACGCAAAGCTCTGCAGAAAAATCTACAAATGAAGATATATGAAATATGCTCCATTATGTAACTTTAATATAAAAAAAATCGAAATTACCGACATCCTTTTATAATTTGATGGAACTATACGAATTTGGGTGGTAACTGGTAACCCTTCTTTAATTTTACGGTTGTGATTTGTGCAACGGTAAAAGAGACTGTATAATCGGAAAGAGGAAGCACCACCCTTCTTGGTTAACCGAGTGTGAAGGAATTAAAACAGGTGCCCTTCGAGTTCAACCGATTTTCAAGTGGATTTCTCTACCGAACGTCTATTCCTTGAGTTGCTCTTATTTGTACAGAAAAGCAAATCGTATTAATTGGTAGAAATTACGAATTAGTGTCTGTTTGAGGTATCAAATTAAATTCAATTACATCTAATGCTATACTAACCGGCTTGTTAAGCCATACTGACCACAATTAAAATAATGGAGAGTTCCCACATAACTTATCATAATTTAAAAATGTACAGCGTTGCCCAAAAGTAGGTGTATCGAATTTAATTTAGAGTAATTTTGTTTTTTTTTTTAGAATTTATTGAAGATACATAGAAACAAATGTAAATTTTTCTAATTTTTAAAATTCATTCATACCTATGTCGTTTGATTCAATTTTTGTTAGTTCCTGGATTATCACAAATTTATTTTAATTTTAATAAAAGATTTTTTAATATATAAAAACCTAACTTAATTTTATTTGAAATAATTTTTTCTCTTAAAGTTTGACATTTTACTTCAAATAAGTGATTTGACATTTAAATGACAAGCAAAGGATACTTTCAAAATTGTATTAGCAAAACAGAAATGAGATAGAAAGTACTTTTATGAATTCACAACATATGAGATAAACGATGATAGATTAACAATAACGGATGGAAAAATGTCACAAATTTATTTCAATTTTAATAAAAGATTTTTAATTAAAACAATCTAACTTAATTTTTTTGAAATATTGTTTTCTGTGGTTTTCTGTAGTTTGACGTTTGATGTTTTGATTCAAATAATTAATTTGACATTTAAATGACAAGCACAGCATACTTTTAAAATTGTATTAACAAAACAGAAATGAGATAGAAGGTAGTTATATGAATTCACAACATATAAAAAATAATAGATAATGAATATTACGTGAACATGATCCTAGTGATTAGTGAGTAAAGTTGACATTATTTGAGACGCCTTGTACATTAAGGTAATTGGCTACCCCTAACGAAGTTAACGCGATAATTGCCTCTCCTCCGTCAGGCTACTAGATGATTTAAAAAACAAACAGATCTACGACCACCATATAACGAGTTTAGATTCATCCCGATGCGGAAGTTGTCATCAAAGCTCTCGATTTTTCTTTCTGAATAATTACAAGTCTGGGGACACAATTACCCAATTACTGATGTAATTAATTTTTAACGAATCGAAATTCGCTCCGCGCCGTTTCTAATTCCCCGTGCGCTCGCTTGGGGATGGTTTAATTAGGGGATAAAGTAAAATATTTATCGGGTTTTATTATTCAATAAAAAATTTTTAGTGGTCATACACATGCTTTGTACAGGTGATATTTCATGATTTTGTAGCAAAACACACTCATTTAATAATACAAAAATTACGAAATATATACTTTTTATATCAGGAAAAAAATTCTCCCGACTTGTTTTGTCATTAGACTAATTGACTCGTTAAAATTGCTGGTCCTAAAGAGCTGTAAATAAATAAGTTCGAGCGAAATTAAAGCGATATCGCCAGTAGCATGGACTGTTGAGCTTCAATCTAACTCCAATTCCGACTAATTAAAACAAATTATTTCTAATTGCTTTCTTCTGCATATCTCAGAAAACGCATCGTAGTTGATACTTTTGTGCACGTGCTCGCGAGTAGTGCACCAGGAATTTATTCGTTTTCATGCACTATTATCGTAATTTGATAATATTTATAATTACAATTCTTCTGCTGTGCAGTAACATGGATAAGGGAATTGCTAAAAAAGTCTTCGAACAAGACTAATTGTAACTAAAGCTGAACAGTAATTAATATGGATGTATTTTCAAAATTAAAAAGTTCCAATCGTTGATAAGATTTTAGTTTTGAGCAAGATATTAAATAGGTCACCGATCTTAGATAAACCATGTTAAATAACGATGGAATGGAGTAAGTTATACCTTTTTACACGTGTGTATTAATGTTTTATTATTAAATGATGAGATACATACAACTTTCAAAGAGTAAAGAAAACTTTTACGCAAAGAAAGTCTTTCTTTTTATTAAAGTTGACTTGTAGTAATACTTGCATAAGCTTTTTAATTGCCGTTTAAAAAATGTAACAAGTAATGTTGTGTGTAATTTATAAAAATGCATCGATAATTATTGAAGTAAAATCGATTTTTCAAATTGTTATTACCTAACTTTTCGCAGTAACCGATAACAATTTTCGAAATAATTAGAATAAATTACGGGAGCCTAGCAGCTAAAAATTAAAAAAAAAGGTAGATTACTAAAATATATTAGCAGATTATAACAAAATTGAATGCTATAGGATAAGCTAGTAATTAGACTGATGGGACATTGTCTAATTGTTTATGGTTTATGGTAATTACATTGTTATAATTAGTGAATTTGAAATTTGAACATTTTTATTTAAAATAAAATGATTCTTAAATGTACGTTTAAATATTCAGAAACTAACGGAAGTACGGAAGAATAAATATAGGGCAACATATTTTCTAGATGTAAATTTAAGTAATTCACTCGTTTATTAATATGCTAAAATGAATGAATTTCGGTGGGAAAATTTAGAGGGGAAAATAGTTGGTAACAAATTGAAATTGTGATTGGGGGTTCCCATTGAGTTAAATGTGGAATAAGTGTAGCACCAAATATTTAATGAACAATTAGAAACAAAGTAACAGAACAACAAATTAAAAACACAGCATAGCAATAATAATTAACGAAACAATTAGAAAATCTAATCTATAAAAAGAAATTGTAGGTAAATGGACACAATTACTAACAAAAATAAACTTATTAGGTAGATACTAATATTTATGGAAAAAATACTTTATTATAAAAATGCCGAATTGAAGCACTTTTTATAATTTAGAGGCAATATTATTAGTTGAAAATTGAGAAAAATCATTTAATATCTTAACTTTCAAATTCCTATTGGGGTGAAAACTTTTTTGATACAGGGTAATAAAAATGAAACATTTCAAATTTACTAGATAATGTATAGTTACTGATGATTTTTGATATAGTAAGTATCTGGATAGAGAAGGTTTTTGAGTATAATAAAATTGGCAGTTTGTTGCCCCACTCACCATTTAATATTTCTACAGAATTTGTATAAAATTGAATTTGAATAGACTTTTGTTGAATTTAACGTTCATCAATATTTTCAAAAGTAATTAATAAGAGTATATTTGGCGCGTGCATGGAAAAAGCTTGGTGTATCTAAAAAGTATTAGTTGTGAAAAAAACGCGTATGAAGTTCTTTCATCAAATTAAGACTACTGAAAAAATTGAAAATGTGAAAATTAGCTAGTTTAGAGTCTCAATTAATTTATTTATTGACTTATTGAGAGTTGAGAGTTATTTCCCTTTTCCTACAAGAAGCCTAGATTAGTGTTTTTTTTATTTAATAGATAACTCGTTTTTCACAATTTAAAAAATCATTAAAAATCCAACGCAATTACGATTTAAAATTAAAAAACACCTACCTGTTTCGGGCAATTTTCAACACATCCGCTTTCCACATCACTATCCGAATAATCGAAGCAATCCGTCCTAACAACAACGCAACAAAAAACGAAAACCGCCAAAATCGAGTTCCTCATCGTTCAGCCCGGCGACATTCACATCATCATTCTCAAATTTCCAACTCGCTGACGGTCCGCAACAACCGAAATCACCATGCTCCGCTCCGGGAGCGACGAAAGCGCAAAAAAACTTTTGAGTATTCGAAAAAAAAGGAGCGCGCGCGCCTCCGCCTTAAGCCGTCGATCGCGGAAGGATTCGAATTGATGTTGATCATTGAGCGCGCTCAGGCCGAGCTCGCTGAGCTGCAGCGGTCACCCAATCCGCTGCGGCGCTGCCGCCGGCCCCACTCCGACCGCCAAACGCCCGACAAGTGCCTTCAATGAGAGAAAAAAATAATTAACGTTGTCAAACAACGGTTAACCGCTTCCGTTGGGCGTCGCTTTTCTCTCCTGGGTGCTTGCGGTGTTACGAAAATCACCGCCAAGGGTCGGACTGGCTGCTCCTAATTGAGCAATCCTACTTATGGAATTACTAGAATATTATGCAATTATCAGGGTGGGTATAATTGGTGGAGAAAGTCGGAGATGTATGCGTTCTTTCAAAAAATATTATGGATTTAAAGCTTCTTATTTTATAATTTCAATTATACAAGATCCTGAGAGGTACCTACATATTTTATCTACGTTTGGTTTAATATTCTACTAAGCCAAAAAGTTGCATATTATGTAAATCTAGAATGAAATTCATACCTATGATGTTTTATATTTTCCCTAAGAATAAGCACAATTTTTCTAATGATTTTAAATAGTAAATTGTAACTGTACACAACCTAAAACACCCAGTCAAAAACCTTCTCATTTTTTAAATTTTGACCCTTTTTAATTCATTTCAAGATGCTCAATTTCGCTCAAATAAACGTAAGAAAACAGCAAAATACTCTTGAAAATTGCGAAAATCTGGCTTAATAAATCATTTAAAAGGTTATCGAATTAAACGTGGAGACGGCCCATAGATTAACAAGTAGAGCCCTCAGACAATGTTTTTTTTTTTTTATTTGTTCATTTCCGGTACTTGAGGTAGCTGAAGTGACCGCTATGGTAATTAAGAAGTAAATTGTTTTAATTTTGAACTACAATTGGTGGCATTTTAAAAACAGTTATTCGAGATTAGGGTAGGTAATTGGATTTCTTAGTCCTGAACGAATAATAATTCTCATACATTGACTAATTTATTATTGGGCATAATGAAGGTAAATTTAAAAGGTTTTAAAGAATCTATAGGCACTTGCAGTAAGAAAAAGTAGGTACTGCTAATTTAGTTTTACATAAATCTACCCGGTTAAATTCAAGCATTTCGAATATACAGATTACCTATCAGTACAGCACTGATGATGACTGAATAAAGATCGAAACGTTGAGAATATACATTTAGTAACATTCACTTCATTTGTCGTTAACAATTCTTAAATACATTAATTAGAAGTTATGTCAATAAAAAAATAGAAAATTGAAAAGTCTAAAATTAGGTAAAATGCCTAATTAATTTTAAAACGAATTTGTTAGTAATTAATTTGAGAACTTGATTTTCCACAACAGTTCTGTTACATAATAAACCTGGTATATTCTCTGGTTTATAAGTGTTATAAGTATTGCATAATGCTCAGGTTTATATTTTTAACAGAAGAAAAGCTATTTAAAATAACGAATAAATAAATATTAGTCAATCCATGTTTCACATAATGTATATTATATACTGAGTGACAAAAGTAAAAGAACACCAAAAAATAGTTGTTGAAATTTAACCATTTATTCTAGTTATATTTATAAGAAAAAAATAAACAAATGATTAAAATTAATTCATCAAATTAACAACAAAACTTAAAAAAAAAAATAATAATGTGTTGCACCACCGTGGTGCTGTACACACTCTCTACAGTTTGAATGAAAAATAAAATATGCTTCTTGGTGTTCTTTTACTTTTGTCACTCAGTATATATTACCAAAAATGGTTGCAAATATTTTGGACCCTAGTTTAGACAACTTGTTTAAAAATATCCAAAATATTAGTAGGTAAAAGAATAGTTTACAATTTTATAATTTCCTTGGATAAAAAAATAAATAATTTTCAATTAGCATGTTAACAAATCCATGACCATCTCATGATAATGTTTTTAAATATTTTCTGGAAACATAGATGATTTATTTTCAAATTTTCTCAAAAATCGAAAAGTTTCTACACACACAACAATAATTAGTATCTAAGCATTAAAACATTAAACAAATCTTCCCTAATTTTTATTAAATCAGTAAAATTTGCATTAACTTCGCGATAATTAAATAGCCCATCTGATTCCTCTTCTCTCACCACCACGAGACTTCACATCAGCTAATCCAATTACCTGAGCATTTAAAAGAAAAATCGCCCAATCACGACTAGACTTACAAGCGGATGAACGCGGAAGATCTTCGAGTTAAATTCCAACGAATGCTCCCATAAAATTGCGAAGGTACAGCACACCAAGTTTCGGCCTTCGACCATCGTCAGTCGCGAATTTAAGGAGCGTTTCTCGGCGAAACGAAAATTCGAAACAAGATCGCGAACGAATCCAGTTCAAGGCGAGCTAAATATTGATAATGCTGTTGAAAAGACACGCTGAAAGACTATTTTTCATATGCGATATTAATGATAATAGCTGCAAAATAGGAGAAAGCGGTAACTAAGCTAATAAATATGATGTAGTTTGGTATGATTTATATAGCTATTGTTAGGAGTACTAACATAAAGTATATTGGAAATTGATGTAAATTATCAAATACTATAGATTTTTTAGAATATAATTGATTCTCTTATCGATAAATTCCAATTTAATAATTTCCAATCAATTATTTTATTTCCCTTCGAATATCACATATCATCGCGACATTTTCGAGTGAAGAATAGAATAAGGTATCTCCCGATCAAAAATGTCAAGGTTGATTTTGAAATGTATCACCTCTTTCGTACATTTTTGCAGCTCACCATCCTAATCACGAAATCGCTACAGAAAATGGGTTGGTTCTCTTTTATACCATGCACAAACAACAATTAATAACGTCTACATAGGCACTTGCTGCTTATCAAACTTTCCTCCGGTACTTAAGTAACCGATATCTACTGCAGTAGATTTTCTTTATCTACAACTCGATGCTTTTACAATTTTTTACTTCACAAGTGGTGTCTAATTTCTGGAGTTCTTTATAATTTGCAATAATTTTAGAACGCCCTGTATAAACCTTTATCAGATATTTTGCACCATAACTTAAAACATTATTATACAAAGTATCTAACAACAATAAATTGCCAAGAAGAATACTCGTTTAAAACAATTATTTAGTTCTTTTATAATGTAAAAAACCACAAATACATTCCCTTATATTCACAAACGATGGAATTCGAAACATTTTGTTGCCCTTTGAAACGACCTCTTCATGATTAACGAAGAGTGAATGGTAATTAAATACTTTTTAAGATTTTTTATTGTAAATACGCCTATAGGTGTCTCATTATTTGGCGTTGCATGGAATATAATGAATTGCAAATGCACATAAATTGTCGTTGTTGTGTAATAATAATATAATTTATTCCGAACCTCTTCAGAGGTCGGACGTTCCATTTATTACGAATTACAATAATTGTAATGTAACAATAGATCGGCAATTGCCGAGACCTATTCGCGTCCGCCGAATTTTCTATTAATCAATCAATCCCTCGAGCCGTTAGAGTACGAATCTATTTAATTACGGCCGATTTCGAGATAATTTTCAATTTGGCTTTTTCGAAAACAATTACGCGGAAAGCGCGCAAAATGCATTCGTGCCGGCTCGCTCAATTAGAGCCGGTCGTCACGCTTAAAGACTAATAGGTATCGAAGGCTAGTTCGTGCGAACTCTTCTTCAAACCAGTCGATTAAATTAGTTTAACATTTTCGTCGTTTTTTATTTCGAAACTACAGCGACCTTCGATGGACTTCAATGATCGATGACAAATGTGCATGTGGTAAAATTGCTCTGCATACAATGCACTGTTAATAATTCTGATCCTCTAAACAATCATATAAGTGAGGAGAAGATTGGGTTAGAAAGAAAATATGGATCCAATTGAAAACCATTGCTGGATTTTTGATGATCACTTCATAAATTGCAAATTTTAACAGATTTTGGTATACCTTACATAGAGAAACTTACCCACAAATTTAGGTACTTAAATTTAACTACCCGTCTGAATGTAATACTGGTGACAATATAAGTAATAGATTTATTAACCAACAGGTATTAAGTAAATTGAAGGTGTGTTGTATTACCATAATCAAGCGATGGTAGCGATTCTCTTCGACCGTGACCTCTGATATCAAACGCATATTCCTATTATACATACATTCTTCTCATCATTTTACATAACTAGCGCGTTTTCCTTCTCATCGGCGGCACATTATTTCCAACAATTGACTTACTTATTACCCGTTTAAACTGTTTTGCAATTGCGTGATATTATAGCATCTTCTCGAAAACACATCCTGAAAGAACACTCCTACGAATATCTTCACGTGTAGGTGTATGCTTTGAGGCAACTGGTGAGTAGGATTAATAGTAACATTAGTGACCGGCTCTCGAATCAATGTATCAATGTTAATCCACCTATGTGTTTTCTGTATCATGTGGATCATAATAAATTGTGCATATCTAAATTTGTTGTTTTTAACAAGAATGTTCTCAATAGTTTCTTGAATATTTGAACAAGTAGGACCTGCCAAATGGATAAAGCGTGCAAATCAGCGCGTTCATTATCCACCCGTATAATTTGTAACAAACTCGCCTTAAATGATTATCTATCGCTCTGTGCTCGTTAAACAATACATCATTTGAACAATCATTGGGAGATCGATATGTACTTACTTACATTAAATCAGATAGTGTCGCAAACGCATTGACAAAACGAACGGACCGGAGATAAATATGTTACAGTTTTGTTTTTTAGTACAACACAATATATCAAGATCCATGACTGTTGGCCTTATCGAGTTGTTTGAATTTTTAAACGTCGGGCTGTAGTTTGTGGTACAAGGAAAAGTTGATATTCGCAGCAAATATACTGCTCCACAAAAGTTAAGGAAGTTCACAAATATTGAGATTAATTTAAAAGTTGCAGGTTTTTTGATCACCAAATTTAGTATGAGTTGTAGAGGTAGGGACAAAAAATCCACTCAGATATGATAAAAAACATTTAATTTCTCATATTTGAAAATTTGGTGATCAAAAAGTCTGTGACTTTTAAAATAATCGCAAAATTTGCGAACTTCCTTAACTTTTGTGGAGCACTTTTATTCAAACTCAATATTATTTAGTTTGAGATTATCTTAAAGAATATCTGTGTTTGATATAGAGGAATTTTGTAGAGGTAGAGGCTCTTGGAGTCTCTAAAGATGTATACGGTTTATTTATAGTATCGTTCATTAGAACTTTTAGAAGTTCCTCAAGAGTTAAGAATCTGAATCTGAAAACTGTCGAATGTATTCTCTATGATATCTTTATTAATAATACAATCAGAAGTTTGAAAGTTGATATCGATAATGTCCAGACACAGTAGGTTGTAAAATAAATGTAAAATAAACTTTGGTATTTCAAATGGATCAAATTTGATTTTATGGCATTCACGCATATGGTTGAAAATATGTTAAAAAACTCAAAATATTCATTAAATCTCACTCCAAAATTTTGATTCGTAACTCTTCAGGAACTCCTAAGGCTACCGTAAAAAACCCTGTATAATAGGATTTGGATTTATTATGGGTTAAAATAAGGTGTTTAAGGTTTAAGGAACCAAAACAAATATGTGTATGCATGACCCAAAAAAAGTCTTCCGGACTTGCCTTAACAGTTTCACTTATTTTTAGAATTTAAATCAATGTACTTCCATTTTAGTCTCTTAAACTTTAACATCCTTCAGATTAATGGTAAATATTCATTCAAACGGTTGAATCACAAATTCGTCACCGCTCCAAGACGAAATTTTCCGACGATTCCCCCGGATCCCCAAAAACCTACAAACCCATCCGGCGACGAGAGCATCTCGCGAAGCCTCCGCTTAGCCATCCATCAGTAGTTTATTTGACTCCGGCGCCTCGACCCGCTGAACTCGCGACTCCCGATCCTCCGGTGCGTGCCTATTTTCGCTCCAGCCGCCGCGGAATCTCGTCTCCAGCGGCTTAGAAATCGGAATTGCACCGCGAATCGCGACCACTTCAGGCGCCTAGACCCAGTCGGTGCTCGTCGGCCGGTGGACCGCGAGCTGTGCAGCAGTTATGGTACGCGCGAACGGCGAATTTCGCGACATGGGTGCGTGGGTGGTGCTGTCGGTGTTAGGGGTGGTCGGCGCTGCCCTAGGGCAGGCCCTACGCGGAGCTGATACCGTAAGTTTCGATGCTTTTTTATAGAAATTTTGGCGGAGTTCCTGCGGCTAGGCGATGTTGAGAAAATTGTGTATGAATTGGTAGACTTAAAATATAGGTTGGTGTAGTTACAACCCTAATTAACACCTGGTTCATACAAAAAAATGGGAGAGAATGTCGCAATGCATTTGTGTGGCTAGATGATGTGGAGAATTGTTGGAGAAAATAGTGTACAAATTGGTACAGTTAAAATAATGGTGTATTTACTACCCATTGATATTACTTCCGATTGATTTCCTGCTAAACTATGGTAGAAATTGAACTTGATTTAAGTATAATCTAAGTGCAACATTGTATTCTTTAGATACAATCTCATTTTATGGGCATTTAAACTAAATGCTGTTAAATAAACAAACATATTTAATAGAAATTTTGGCGAAGTTTGTGTGGCTATAATAAGGTGATGTTGAGAAATGAGGAGGTTGAGATAATAGTGTTCGAATTGGGTAGAAATTGAAAATGGTTCATATAATAAAATTGGCAAAAATATTCCAGAAATTGAATATAATCTAAGTGCATTTTTGAACTGTGATAAAATCTTAAAAAGTAGAGTAATTGTAACCAGTCCTAATAAACTGACTTAAAATTGGTTAATAATGAAACCAAAATTAGCCAATGAAGAAGTAGAATATGTGGTGAATTTAACTCAAAAATCGGTTAACATTAATTTATAAGTCAATATTATTTAAATGTAATGCACAATAAGCCACATTTGTATTTAAATTCATAATTAATTTTATAAAAAACGCACGGCCATTTACTTCAAAAATATGCATGAAAACGAAGTGTATTTTAGCATAAAATCTATTAAACTTTTTTCAACATCCTCGTCGAACTGGAACTCTTAATTATTCATCGAGATTTTATTACAAAATCACATTCAAGAATCCGCAATTATCACGTTATTAAATCGAATCGAGATAGCAACGAATTTCTATTGTGAATCACATGTAGGTATTTATTAAGTTAAACTAGTTCAATGCCCACTCAAAACCTTGCAATCGGTGGGTGTTCTTATTTTCTGTAGCTTGTTGACATTAATTATGGCATATTTTGAGTTACAAGTGTGTGCACTCGAAATCGTCTCTTTAATTTGCAATATTTACATATATTTCTGATTTCATTTGATTTGTAGACACCTAATTATCTAACCAATTACTTTTTACACTCGCTGCTATTTTTGAAAATGAACTAACCAATTTAATTAACGTTGAATGTCCAAGATTATTGTCAATTTTTTCTCAGATTTTTCGTCATCTTCTAAAAATTTGTAAAAAGTAAATTAAAAATGATGAAAAAAAACGCAATATTTTTAAAAATTATGGCTCCATTGAAGGTTATTCTATTATGAACTCTCAGTTATTTGACATTAATTAGCTTCTTCAACGCGGAAGTTTCACTTAATACCATTTTGATGTTGCCAAAATTGATGTTATTGATACGAAAATAAATAAGTCGAAGCATCCGTGAACATCTTTATCTCCTTGAAAATCGAATTATTAAAACTAAAATACCAATGCAAATTTGCTTCTTAATTTTTAGTCTTATACAGGGTGTCGCAGAAAGGTTGGTTTAACTAAAAACTTCTGAGATAAAAATAAGATCATTTAACCTAATTAACTTACCTACACCCTAATGCTTAGTAAAGTAATTATAAGGTGTTAAAGTTAATTTTTTTTTTATTTGATATAAATAATATCTTTTAACTTGTGCATTTATACGATTTAGTCCCCATAATTTGAAGCATTTCTGGTCTGTTATTGACACTATTTTTTTTCATAGCACCAAATAATTCAATTCAAATAATTAAGTTAACAAAAATCTATTTATGTTACCTACAAGCTAGATTAAATCATCTTATTTTCGTCTCAGAAGTCTATAGTTAAGTACCAACCTTTTTGCGACATCCTGTATATAATCTGTTATCCTGATTATTATCCTAATCGGATCTTAAGTGTTTCTTCGGCGTAATTACAGTTATCAATAGCAGATCCTTGGTGAAACGCGACACGCGACACGAATCCCTAATACTTCAATATTTTTTTGCGTTATTTCGTTACGAAAACGAGTCATCACGTAAATTATATAATGACAAAATCTTCGGTAACAAAAGGTTAAAAATTTTAGCGTCGAAGTAACATAACGACTCATTCTTCGCAAAACAAACGGAGTCTCGGGCGAAGAACGCCCCGGGGATAGACAATTTAAATATTGAAAAAACCGATAAAACACAATGGAGTGTGAATATAAGATTAAGGACGAATAAGCAGAAAATTGAATTAATGACAGTCGTAGACGTGTTATTAACTATCGAATTAAATATTCCGTGAAAGTCGCGTTGCATTAAAATTGAGAAAACAGATCAAACATTATCATAACAATCGTTTTATATTGTGCAAATGTTGAATATTCTATAGGTGATTAATCAGCTATAAAAACAATGATTGTAACAAATTTTTCACTTATCTTCCATGTGCAATTAGAAGCAATATACACAAAACCATAAAATAACTACAAAGTATTAAACCTGCCCATTTATCTGTGTAGTCAATCTTCATTTGCTTGCGATGTGTGTGCCAAATTTTTGTTGTAAAACAAACGTGAGAATACCAAAAAAAAAGTTACAGAAACTCGCCTTTTGTCTCACTACCAGCTTTAATTGAAAGGATACTTGCGTGTTGCAATAAGCACAGTTAATTAATTGAATATACCTAACTCGAATTTGCTCTTTTGTTCGCAAGAACATTATGCATATGTTGGTTTGATTACGTTGGAATAAAATTTTGTTTTGCATTTTAAAAGAAATACAATTTCTATTAAAATGTGTAGGTATTTAGTACCTAATAAACTAGATGATTAATTGTATGTTAGAGAGTTAAGTACCTTTACTGGATAATTAATAATCTTATTACGTTATTAATTGGAAACATACATTTATATTAAATAGGGCATTTATCGAATCAAAAGAGTAGTTAATTACAGTGTTATTAAATGTGGTCAATTAGTTTTGTAGTAATTAATAATAAGTCAATTAATTGACCCCGCAAATAATCTCATATAACTTTTAACATTATCAACTACATTATTAGCTTAGCCTACAAAAAGCATTCTATTTCCAACTCACTAACTTTTTTGAAGAAAATGAAAACTTAATTACACGATGTGCATACTCCCTACTTTCATTACCACACCCAACAAATAAGCATATTGAAAATATTATTCTGTATTCGATCTGAAACGCATCCGCGTGTAACCGTTTAATAATTCGAATTAAACTATACAGTACATGCATAGCTTTATTGCGCTCCGATTCTAATCGGAATGTAGCCGAAGAAATTGGTTTTTAGCTCGGATAAGCGGATTTGTAGAATATTGAAAGCGGTGAAAATTTCAACCATACTGTTCGAAATGTCAAGGGAAAAATGTTAAAGATGCCGCAAATGAACCGAACGAACCATTTGGAAATAAGTTGTTTGTGTTTCGATTATTTTACAGCAAATTGAGAGAAAGTCAGATGAGCTAGAAAGAAATTTAAAAACAGATTTTCTTAAATAGTTATTAAATGGAAAATTAGTAGAAATTATGGATAATTAATCTACGAATTAACCATTGTGATGATAATAAATTACTGAATTTTAGCTGTTTGTAGCATGAAAATTACATACTCCCGTATTGCAAAATACGTAGTATTTACACCGTTACACTTCCTGCAATAAGATAAATCCATACTCTTACATAATCGGTAGATATTAATTAAAATATAAATGCAATCATTTGCAGATTCACACACAATGAGTAATTAAGATATCCTCGATAAAAGCGCCTTGTTTATTTCTACAAAAAAGTGTATGAGAATGAACCATATTGTATGAAAGTCGATTCAATACTGTTTATTTTTTAAAGCAAAAAAATACCATTGTTGTTATAATTGTTTTCCTGAAGGAAAATTGTGCCAAATTATAATTTGGTTAGGATTTTTTATTAAAATCTTAGCCTAATTTGAGTTAAAATTTCGGTTTCTGGTAGACAAAAGTTCATGTGAAGAATTACCATAGATATTTCATGATTATCAAATAACGTAAACGGTGCTCTTCTTTACGAAATTTAAAATGAGGATAACTAAAAAATATATCCAGCAATCAAGCTAAAAGCAAAAAATCCTCTTCGATAAGCACTTAATTCGGTTAGGTAAGACCCATTTGTCGTAATACCCGAACATCTTCCTTGCGGAGCTTAAGAAGCAAGAGTCAGGCACGTTCTTCTAAGCACTTTATAAGGATTAACCTCAACATGGCATTCAAACGATGATTATCTCGCAACATCACCGGAGGAAGATGTTTATTGTTTGTTTGATAATGTTGTCGAATGAGCGTTGTTTCAAAATAAATGTACAAGACATGACGAAGCGGGAAAACTTACCCGCCGAAAAACCAGCAGGTATAACCAGATTTCAAAACGTGATCTACGCGAATTTATCGAGCCTAAAATAAATTTCAGTTGTGTATCTAAATTAATTATTCAGAAACATTTCTAATTTCGAATCAGGTGATCTCACAGTTCGAAAATTTTTGTTCATCCGAGCGAGTTTTATAGGTAATAGCCGCATTAGCAAATTATCGATCTTGGAAATGTTAATGGGTTTAGACTTGAGAAACTGGCGATATTAAACTAATTAGTGATATATGCGCGAATTTATGCATATTTCAATAATTAACGCGTTATTATTGCAATAATTAAGACTAATCTAGTAGTTTACCGGTGCATGGCGTTTATTATAAAGTTATTAAAGCGATTGAAGAGGATTTCTTCTCACGAAAATGAATTGCAGGATGTTATGTTTCTATAGATTATATATTTTTTATTATTTTATTTATCTGCATATTTTAAAATAAAGAATTACATTTCATTCGTTCAATCCAATATGTATTCTACAAAATAAATCAATGGGAAAATGGTTACAT